GAGGCAGAAAGGAGCCTAAATGAATCAAGGGGTACAGATAGCCTTGGAGAACCTCAGCTGGGTCCCGGAAGTTGCAACCTTCTTAAAATGCAGGTTTTAGTCATCGTTTTCCTTATCTCCTTTTCACCTGTCTTTATTTCTTTCATCCTACCTCACTAGGAGGTGGACATGGGTAGGAGGTGGGGCCTAGTTGAAGGGAGTTGTCTTTAGGGACAGGTCCTTGTGGACGCATCTTATCGCCTCCCCATCCTTCCTCTCTCTGCCTCCTATCTACAAGAGGAGCACCCCTGTATACCACGGAGCACCCCACCAGGATGTTCTGCTTCATGTTGAGCCCACAAACAGCAGAAGCTGGGGTAACTATGGGCTACAAGGTGTGAAGTTGTGAGCCAAAATAAACCTTTCCTCTTTCAAGTCGTTTTTCTCAGGAATTTTGTCACAGACGCAAAGCTAACACAACAAGAAAGCCTGCATTAAATACTCTGAGCATCTGTTATTTTGCACATTCTGAATAGATCTACAGTGTAGGTTAAATGCCTGCATATGGAGTTGTGAGGAGTAAGTATATGGCATTTGCAATTTTGATAGATAAGGATTCATCAAAGTGCCCGTTAATTCACATCCTTCCCAAATGTGTAACATCCTCACAAATCTAAGAGCTAGAAAAGGGCTTATCTTTTTGTATTTTTAGTTCTACAATTTATTTCTGTCATGTTATGTGAGATTGAATACCTTCTCATATATTTAAAAGCATGGGTATTTCTTTTTCTCTCAGCCTTACATTCTTTGCCTTTTCTATTGGGTCACTGGTCTTATCATTTGTTGTAGTTCTTAAAATATTAAAAAAATCCATGTCTTTGTGATATAACTAGCACATATTTTTTTTTCTTTACTTGTGGCCTTTTTTTTTTTTTTTTGGCAAAACAAAAATTTCAATTTGTGTGTTATCCATTTTGTCTAGCTTTTTATGATTTGTGAGTTGTGTGTCATGCTTAGCAAGGTCCTCTATACTCCAACATTATTTTTTATTTTACTTTTTTATTTTGACAAGGCTGGTTTCACTGGAGCTTCAGAGCAAAAGCCCCAGCTCTCATTTGGCTACTTATCCCAGAAAATCAACCAAGGAAATGAGCAGGAGTAAAGGGCAGGAAAGGAGCTTCAATCAGCACAGATAAAGGAATTCAAGGTCTATCTTTGGGAGGCTGACAGAAGCTTGGGGTCTTTATAGAAAAAGAGAACAAAGGCAAGGGTTGGGAATCGCACAGCTGGTAGTTTAGTAATCTCGGTCTGACCGTGGCCTGGCTGACCAGGACTGTCCCTGTCTCAGGACTGAATCCTGGGAGACCCATCGTTTGAGGGGACAGTTCTGATCTCAGGGGCTCCTGCTTAGCGAGCAGCCTTGGATCCCTGTCACGGGGGCACTGCTCCTGCTTGGAGGGCTGACTTCCTCACAAGGTGGTCTTTGAGGCTCTGCTTTTCTGGAATAAGATGCCTCCAGGTTAGGACAATGACTGGCGACCTCTAGTCATTACTCCAGGGATCTGGAATGGGACATTGTAAGAATTGGCAATGCGACATCTCTGTAAATCCTTCAGTTACCACCAAGGTCTTAAAGGAAGCTGAGATCTGCTAGGTAAGTGCGGAACTGAGAAACCTTGTAATGCAGATGCTCCTTACGTGATGAGCATCCTGGTGCACAGCTGAGCAGGGGCCTGGACGAGATGCGAGGTAACAAATGAGACAGGCACGACAGCTGAAGGCAGGGAGCCTGCTTTCGCTCACCCACTGGCGCCGCAGAGCAAGCTTCTAGGTCCATTTCACTGGGGGTTGAACCCACAGCCCAGTCACCAAGCTATCTTTCTAACCCTTAAAAAAGCTTCTAAAAGTTTTGCCTACGTTTTATTCTAGTCCTTAAGTGTTTTAACCTTTTGCTGTAAAATACATAGAAAAATATCAATGTGGGGCTGGTGAGATGGCTCAGTGGTCTAAAGCACCTACTTAGAACAAGCTTAGCAAAGCACAGGGACTGCGGTTCAATCCCCCAGCACCACATGCCAGCCAGCCCCGCCCCCTGGTGGGCTGAGCTGGCCACACACACACACACACACACACACACACACATAAATAAATAAATTTAAATTAAAAAATATCAATGTGCATCATGAATTGTTACTTTCTAAGTTTTGGCCACATGTGGACTTTTCTGTGGTATAATACGAGATAGAAATTCATCCTTACTCAACAACACCATGTTTTAAATGTTTGTATACCAAGCAAAAAAGAAAAATCTTGAACATATTTTCTAAAGCAGAAATTGGATAAGCCTTATTCTTTTTTTTTTTTTTTTTGCTGAACCGGGGATTGAACTCAGGCCCTTGTGCTTGCCAGGCAAGCGCTTATTCCACTGAGCTGTCTCCCTGGCCCCAAGTCTTATTCTTTGTATAATACACCAAGAAAAAAAAAATTAAAAATTAATGATGAAGCCTTAAAAATCCCTTAATTAAACAACTCTGTTCCAAATTATAATTATGATGTACTTAATAATATAAACATTTGATATAAATGTATGGGAATTGATCCAAAGCATTTCCTTTTATTATTTTTAAAAGAAAAAGATCAGAAGGGCCCAAGCAATAAAGTTTATAATTTTAAACAACTTTAGTTTTAAAAGAAAGAGAAGGAAAGGCAAAATTACAGAACTAGAAAGAAAAAAATTCCCGTAGCAGTGCCCATGGAAACAAAAATTTTCTTTGCCTTATTTTTTATTTATTTATTTTTGGTACTGGGGATCGAGCTCAGGATCTTATGCTTTCCAGGCAGGCACTTATGCCACTGAGCTATCACCCCAGAAACAAAATTTTAAGAAGATAGAAATGTTGACTACCTTGATTTGATCATCACAGATTGTAGACATGTATCAAGTTATACTCTACCTGAGAAATACACACACTTAAGATAATTATTAGTAAAAAATTTAAGTTTATTTTTTAAATATGAGATACCACCTGGTGGCAAATCTAGTAATAAAAATGACAAAGCAATATGAACTACATTAAATGCAAAAACATGAAAAGATTTTAAATTACCAGAAAATATTCCATACAACTATAAGCTATCTTTTTCTTTTTTCCTTTTTTATGAGATTGGCAATTGAGCCCAGGGCCTCCACAGTGAACTACATTCGCAGTCTTTTTCTTTCTTGCGGGGAGTGTGGTGGGAGACAGGGTCTTGCTAAGTTGCTCAGACAGGACTCTAATTTGAATTCCTTCTGTCACAGCTTCCCAGGCAACAGGCATTATGGGCTGTGCCACCACACCTGGCAAGATAGCCTCTATTTAAACATCATGACAAAAAAGGAACAATTTTCTGAAAACACAACTGCCAAAAGTTAACCAAAAATAAGCGGGAAGGGGGCACAATGAAGAAAACTTTAAAGTTACCAAGTTTGATTTTTGAAAATAAGCCTGGAATATGTGGGAGGCTGAGGTAGGACTGTTTGCACCTAGAAGTTTTACATTAGGCTGAGCAACACAGTGAGAACCTGTCTCAAAAATAAATAAATTGGTTAAGTGTTCTTTGACTCAAGCTCATGGAAGCAAGATGCTGCCTTTCACAGAGGTGGGCTGGTGGCCAGGGAGCAATTCATGGGACAGATCGGGACCTTAGTTTTGTACTGGAAAATTTTGAAACCCACAAGAGGTCCTCAAATAGAAATATGGGAATTGAAACCAATAATCCAAAAAGGTGTTTACCTGGCATTTAGCAAATTTTCATTGCATTGTCTGTTCAACTTTGGCCATCATTTTTCTTATGGAAATAATAATATTGACCTTGCGACATACAAAAATGTTAAACTAGCAAAGATGATAAAATATTTCCTCAATAGGGATGAACTAACTTTTAATCCCAATAGTCAGCCATACAGAGTGCAGCTGTCAACTGCCTCCCTATTTCTGTGCTCGCATTTCACACTCTAGGGGATTTCCAGTTCTGTAAGCCACCCGCAGTTGCTTTTATGCTTGGTCATCACATCTTGTCTGTGCTCACTGAGGAAATGGTGATCTAGGTCTTTTGTTTTAGTCCTGGGTACTGAACCCGCAGCCTCACGCTATGCTTCCTTCTTGGCCCTTTTAAGTTTTCATTTTGAGACACGGTCTTGCTAAATTGTTCAAGCTTGCCCCCAACTTTTTTTTTTTTTTTTTTTTTTTTTTTGGTATTTTAGGGAAGGGTCTACAGGGTGTTCAGTGTCTTACTACTAGGTTGGACTTGTAGTGATCCTCCTGTTTATGGCCTCCCAAGAGCTGGGATTATAGGAGCCACCACGCCCAGTCTCAAATGCTGTCTCAGCATGCCCTGGGGGTGGGGCCACAGGTCATGATCAAATGGGCCCCTGGGCCTGCTTGCAGGCACTTTAATCCACTGAGCTATTTGGCTAGCCCCAATGCCTCCAGCTGATCTGGTTCCTCAGTCTCCCGAGCAGCTGGGCCTACAGGTGTATCCTACCATGCCTGGCTGCTCTTCTAGCTAGAGATGTCAGTATTCATACATTTTTAAAATCAAATAGTGAATATTTAAAAATTTGGTTGGTATAAAGTGATCCAAATGAGAAAAGAGCGCTTCTCCCTCTGCATGCTCCAGGCTCTGTCCCCAGATACAACCCTGTCACCAATTTCCTGTGTAGCCCTCCAGAGCTGGTCCCTGCGTATGCGCAAATAGACAGGAACATACACACTTAAGGCATATATAGGAGACACAGTGTTACGGTTTGTGTGTAGTTGTCTCCCCAAAGCCTCATGCAGTCAGTGGGGTGCGGTTCTAGAGTTTGTAATTAATTTATGATCCAAGGCTGGGATTGTGGTCTGAGTAATGCTGGGATTATGGGTGTGAGTGCTACACCCGCCTTGGGACAGATGGCCTGAAGGCAATGAAAGAGGAGAGGCTTGCTAGCTGCGGCAGCCTGGGTTCCTCCCTTCTGCCTTTGCTCTTTGCTGTCTTCCACTGCCACGAATGGGAGCTCTCTGCTGGTGCAGCTCTCCTTGGAGCCACCGAGTATGGACTGAAACCTCCACTAACTGTGAGCTAAATAAGCCTTTCCTTCCCTAATTTTGGGTGTTGGGTATTTTGTCCCAGCAATGAGAGAAAAATAACTGAGACATGTAGTTTTTCAATTTTGAATTTGTTTGTAGTGGACTTTGGAGTTCTTTCCATGTCAGTTTGTAAATAGCTGACTTTCTTGCAAGTGGCCATTTCATATAGGTGTGTCAGAATTTATTTCTTGTCTTTGTATAAAGGGATCCTGACTACCTAGACTTGAATCTCAGTGACCCAGGGCAACTTGCTTAGCCTCAGTCTTCTCCCCTGTTTAATGGACACACTGGAAGTATTGTATTGACAAAGGCTTCTTGTGAAGAGTCAGTGAGATAGCACATGACAGCACGTGGCATAGCACACATGCACAGCAGGTGGCCACTGGTGACACTTGTTAGAGATCTGCTGTGTCCCACGGACATATGTGTCCTTCCAGCTTGCAATCAATGTAAGTCATATATATATATATTTTTTTCTATGTATACAAACATCCTGCAGTTACAGTTGCACAAATGCTAAGTAAAAGAGTGTGTGTGCGTGTAGGTTTGTACGTACGGCCAAGTCTTCTCTCTGACTCCATTTGGATTCCCCCATCAGCAAGCCATGAGATAAACACAGCTAGTTTATTTGGGAGGTGAAGCAAGCAAGCACCAGTAGGGGATGGGAAATGGAGACAGGAAAAGCAGGGGAGCCCAGAAAGGCAAATGGTCAAAAGAGCCAGCTGCGGCAGCCTGAGATTTACCCTGAGGGCAGCCTGGAGCTGTTCTGCAGGGGAAGGAGCCAGGCATTTGAACATCAGCTCCTGCCCAGACACTGGCTCAAGAGGTATCATCCCGTGTCCTGAGGTAGATTACGTGTGCTGGCAGCTAGCTTGGAAGCCTTTTCAATGTTGCTTGTTCTGAACAAGGAAACTTTTGATATAATTGCCTTCAATCTCTCTCTCTCTCTCTCTCTCTCTCTCTCTCTCTCTCTCTCTCTCTCTCTCTTTCTCTCTCCCCCTCTCTCTAGCATGCTGGGGATTGTACACAGTGCCCTGTAGTTGCTAACATAAGCTCTGTCGCTCAGTTTCAGTGTCAGCCCCAGGCCCTCGGGTTGTTGTTGCTTTATCCAATTCTAATTTCTAATGTTTTATAGTGAAGTTCTTAAAGCACGTAAACACGTGCCATGTCTCCTGTTCTCTCTAAGGGATATCAGTGCAATATTCTGAAGTTCCCTAGAGCATCCTGTTGTAGTTCAGGGGCATTGCCTTTGATCTGCATGGTAACGTGGAGGGGTTTTCTTCTTTGACTTTCTGTGGTCACAGCAGATTTGTCTTACTCAGGCCAGGTTGCTGTTACAGAACAGAATACCATTGACTGGGTGGCTTAAGCAGCAGAATGTTCTTTCTTGTAGATCCGGAGGCTGGGAAGCCCCAGATGCAGGGCCTGTACATCTGGTGTCTGGTCTTGCTCTCAGTTCCTGGTTTGCAAACAATGCCTTCTCTTTAGGAGAGAGAGATAGAGAGATAGAGAGAGAGAGAGAGAGAGAGAGAGAGAGAGAGAGAGAGAGAGAGAGATCTTGTATCTTACAAGGGCACGAGGCCCACCTTCCTCCAAATCCCTCTGCACTTCTCTGGTGTCATCCTCCGCCTCTGAGAGGACTTGGGTGTTCCATCTGCAGCAAGGTTTGATGTCCCCTGGCTCATGCTCTGGCTTCCCTTCTGTTGTTGTTATTATTATTATTATTATTACTGTATCTAGTACAGGATCTCACTACACAGATCAAACTCGTAGTGACCCTCCTGTTTTCAGTCTCCCAAGTGCTGGGATTACAGATGCATACCACCACACCTAGTCTCAATCACCACCCCAGCGTGCCTCAGGGGGCAGAGCTGGCACTGCATGCCAGGGATACAACCCCATCCCTGTGCCGGCTTAAGCAGGTGCTTTAATCCGCTGAGCTATCTGGCTGGCCCCCATTTTTTTTTTTTTTTTTCTGTTTAGAACCTGACAGTATTTTTAAAATGTCATCAGTACCTCAGGACCTGGTCAGCAAGACCCTGTTCTTATTTCCATATTTCCAGTTATAATACTCATCTCTAGCTAGAATGTGAGCTATTTATGTGGATTTTCATAGAGTCCTGGAACTTTCCTACTTATGTTCCTCTTTTTTATTTTTTTCTTTAGTACTGGGAGTCGAACTTGGGAACTTGTGCTTGCCAGGCAGGTACTTAAGCTGGTGAGCTATAGCCCTGGACCTATACTTCCTATTTTGTAGGTAGACAATCAGAGCACACACTGGCCTTCCTTTCTTTTAGTCATGTTTTTCTTCCCATTATGTATTGGATGAACTTTATCTCTAGCCCTTTTTTAATATTTTATTATTTAAAAATATTAAATTTTTAGTGCCTCTTCCTGAGGCACTAAGTTGTCCTGGCTGGACTCAAAGTTCCAATCTTCCTGCCTTAGCCCCCAGAATGCTGGAATTATTGTCCTGTACGCCCTGCCTGCCTCTCTGCTCTTTATAAATACTTCAGCCAACAGAATCCTAACCTCCTGTGGGCTTCTGCATGGGGAAAAGTGTTGACTGGTGCAGTGAGGATTATCCAGTGTTCCTGTGAATGAATGAGCTGGGACACATGTGCTGGATTTTCCGGGACCCCACAGGCTCCAGGCTGGAGGAGGCAGGGAGCTTCCTGTGTGCTGGTTGTGGCAGGAAGTAACTCCATGAAGGGTGGGGAGTGTGAACACCAGGGGCCCAGGGAGCTGTGCTGGGAAGAACTTGATATGTGTATAGAGGTGTGGGGACCTTTATGGGTTCAGTTTCCTTGGGGGTGTCTCTGGAAAGTGGGGGCAAGAACTGGTGTCCTTTTTGCAGTGTCCTGTGGAAGTCTGAATAGTGGGAGCAGCATCCTGTTTCCTCTCTCCTCAGGTCTTACACCATGGAAGTAACCCATAAGCCCCACTCCAGGCACAGGACAAAGCACAGTGTGCCCTTTTCCCAGGGACCCTAGAACACCTACCATGAACCAAGAAGCAAGGTAAGTGTTTCTCCCTCACCTTCCCTCTTGTCATTTTTCCTACCATCTATTCCTCATTCCCCTCCTGCTGCCAAGACCACTTCCTACCAGCCGTACCTCCCTGGGCTGCCCAGACCACAAACCTGCCCTTGTCCCCATGCGGCATGAGAATGACAATTATGTATCGGATGCAGAGAGTCAAGAGGAGCCTTGAGCACATACCTGCCCATTTTACAGATGATGAAATGAAGACACAGATAGAGAAGAAACAGACTCAAGGTCATAACATGAATGTATTTGCTAGATAATGCTGTAACAAATAGCCCCTGAAGTCTCAGTAGCTTGTTCACCAAAAACTAGCATTTTTTTCTTCCTGCTTCTCTTCTATTGTAAGTGGACTGGAAGCTCTAGCCTATATCATTGTCTTCCAGACCTGGGTCAAAGCAATAGCCATACTACGGAAAACTCCTGGCCCCTGAAGCAGAGGAAAAAAGAGGGCATGTTAACTCACACTTTGGCTCTTAAATGTTTGCACGAATGTTTATGTGTCACTTTTGAGCATTTATCATTGGCTAAAGTGTGTTTTATAGTACAGGGAATGGAGTAATATGACCCAGACAAAAACCTGAAAGACAGGGTAACTGTGACCATCCCCAGTGTCCAACACAGAGAATTAGATTCAGAGCTGGTGTGGGAACCCTTTCTCCTGACTGTGGCCAAGGATCCTTCTTCTGCAATTCTCTGTCCCCAAAGGTATTTCCCGTGGAAGTCACAATGACTCTTTCTCCCATGGATGGTTTCCCTTAGATAGTTTGATATCAAGAGGATGGGACAGCAATAGTAGAAACAGAGGCATGTGTTAGAACAACTGGAGGAGACCAAACTCGAGGATGAGGAACCCCCCACCCTCAACCATACCTCCCAGGGACTCTGCTTCCCCTGGCACCATGCTCCCCTGAATGGTTTCTTTACGGGCAGTGTGAACTCTGGACACCAGGGTCCAGAAAAACAATCATGCCCTACACTGAAGCCACATCATTTTGCCAGGATCATCCAAAGTCTGGGGCCTTGCCCTTGCTTGGCTCCACGGAGACACCAAGGCCCTGGAAATTTCCTATTCTGGAAGGCAGAGAATCTTGGTTCTGATCCTGGCTCCCCATAGCCTTGGTGTACATCTCTTACTCTGCCACAGCCTGAGTCTTTCCAGCTACTTGTGGGGACAGTGAACCCTACTTGAGACTCATAGACATGAGCATAGTTCATAAATCCAAAAGTCTTGTGTGAGCAAGGGGCTGTTACTCTACTAGTTAAAATTAGAGCAGTTTAGCTCCATTCAGTTCACTGGGCATTGTTTGGGTTCCTTACATGTGCCCAGCACTAAGGGGAAATAAGATGCTGAGGGACATCAGCATCCTTGGCTAGCAAGTAGGACCTCGGTCAAGGGCTCTCCCGTGGGCTGAGAATGCAGAATGCAGGAATGTGTGTACACATACAGATTCATACAACACCGTCCAGGAGAGGGATGGCCAGAAGGGCCGAGATGCCCTTGTAGGATGAATGTCCAGGCAAAGTGGGATCTAAGCCTTAGGACAGATAGTGACCATTAGAAAGGCTGGCTCCTTGGCAAGTCTCCAATTCCTTTGGAGTTAGTGGGGGAATCTCTGGAATTCCAAGGATTAGATAAGATACAAGAAACCCTTACAAGTGTGCCTAACATGTATTCTCCATGTGCTTGCTACTATTATTAAGGAAATAATATCAGGAAGTCTGTGTGGAAGTGTTACAGCATATTCCAATTTACTAGGACTATGATTTATTTAACCGATCTGCAATTGTTGGATGTTTAGATTGCATCCAAGTTTTAGCCATTATAAATAATCTTGCAGTGAACATCTTTGTAATTAAAAATTGTGTGTACACCCATGACTGCTTCCTGAGGTGAGAGTGCTAGAAATGCAATTGTTGGTCCAAAGAAAGTGCGCACTATTCAAGCTTTTGCTATGCAAATGCCCTTTGCAGTCTGTCCCTATTCAAACCGTCAGGTTGTTTGATAGTTCCTGTTTAGGAGAGGATTGGGGCTGGGAAGATGGCTCAGGGGCGTAAGTACTTCCTGGGCAAGTGCAAGGGCCTGAGTTCAATCCCCATCCCCACCCCCCAAAAAGGAGAGAATTAGTTTAGAAAAGAGGTGGTTTGTATTAGTTGAGATTAGGTTCACTGTGAGAACCAGAGAGCCCTAAAAAATAGAGTTTAAAGAGAATAGAAGTGGATTTCTCTGTCCTGTACTAGAGGTTGAAAGCAGAGTCTGGGGAAGGAGGGCGGCTTGATCCTACACCTCAACACTGGCTTCTCCCTAGCCACCACAGTGATATTTCAACCAACAGGAAGAAGCAAAATGTAATAAAATAATATAGTAAAACATAGATGACACTTCCATTTGTGTCCCTTTGGCTAAAACTTAATTGCACAGGTGTATTGAACTATGAGAGAGGCTGGAAAATCAGGCGCATTCTGGATGACCAGGGGATAGCAGGAGTTTTAGTATTGCAGCGGAAGATTAGGGCAGGCCAGTGGGTGCCGGTGCCATGGAGTGAACTCAGATGGTGAGGGGCACAAATGACCCATGGAAACAGGAATCCTTCCTCGGGAAACCATGCACAGGAGGTGAGCTAGAGCCTTCCAGAGAGCAGGAGCAGCTAGAGGTGGCAGAGGCGTGAGGACCCCGTCAGAGGATCCTTGCTGCCTATCATCTGCTGCTCAGGGCTGGGGCTGGTTCTTGACTATCCCTCAACTCACTCTTCCCACAGCCCAGCTGCCTGTGAGCTCACCTGTCCCCAGCATATCTGCCCCCAGCTCACCAGCCTGCCCTATCCTTGCAGGACAGTCGCTCATGGACTCTGACAACCTCCATCTGAGCCATGAGAATCTGTGTGGCTGGCTAGTGAGGCTGCTCAGCACAAAGCAGGAATGGCTGAGAGGCAAGATGAAGTTCTTCCTCCCTGATGTGGATCTGGCCTCGAGTGATGATCCAGGCCCTGAGCAGAGCGTCATCCGGCAGCTGCGGGCGCTACAGGCCCAGGGGCGTACCGCCTGGCAGACATTCATCCACTGCGTGTGCATGGAGCTGGAGGTGCCTCTGGAGCTGGACGTGCTACTACTGAGCACCTGGGGCCAGGACGATGGTAAGGACAGGTGGGGAGGGCACAGAGCCACCAGCACAACCCCTGTGACAGCAGAGGTGGAGGAAGGCCCCAGGGTCCCACAAGTCACACCAAGAGGGCACAACAAGCCAGGAACAAAATTTCACAGGTCTAGGCACTTCCCAGAGCAAATTCCCCAGTGCCACTAAACCAAACGGGGCCAGGGGACCCTGCAGCCACCTTGGCTCTGTCCTGTTGCTCTGGGAGCCCAGAGGCGAGGAGAAAACCCATGTGGCTCCTTCCAGACAGAAGGCCAAGCAGCTGTGATGTGCAAGAGGCTTATTCCTGCAACACACTGAGAAGCAATAACATAGAGGGACCTCTGGCCTCTACTGAGAGGCAGCAGGCTTAAGTCTGTTCAGAGGGCATTGCTTGAGCACCATCTGTTTGCCCCAGCACTGTGGGAAACACAAGACAGTTAGGGACATCCTTGATAGCAGGTAGGAACTCAGTCAGGAGCTCCACCATGGCCAAATGAGAGGGATGCAGGGATGTGTGTGCAGGCATGTGCAGATATGCACAGTGCAACATGTATGTACAGGTATTCACATGCATGCAAATGTGTAAACATGCATAAATATAAACATGCATACTCTAGATATATACACGCAATCAGCTGTCCACCTAGTAGTTAGCTAACAGGTAACTATTTCTCCCTTGAGAGCACCCTTCCTGGGCACGGGCCTCAGCAGACACCAGGCCAGAGCTACCAGAATCATGCTGCATCCCCACACTCCTGTTCTGTCCTCTCTTGCAGAGCTCCCCAGGTTGCTAGAAGCTGAAGAGGAGAACCAGCCTAAACCTCAGCTCCACCATGGTAAGGCTTGGGGTTGGGGGGAGTGGGAGAAAAGTGGGGAGCAATGTTGAGTTCCTATACCCTCACCCCAGTACTGCTCATGGAACCCAAGGCCTGTGCACTAAGCTATATCCCTAGCCTTTATTATTTTGAGACAGGGTGTCAGTAAGCTTCCCAGGCTGGGCTTAAACTTGCCATCTTCCAAACTCAACCTCCCAAAGTGCTGGGACCACAGACATGCGCCACCACCCCTGGCTCTCCATCACAACATGGAGAAGATTGGTGTGGGCTGGTGACAGCTATTTCCTCCTCTGCACATGGATTTCGCCACTTCTGATGTATGATCAGGGGCCAGTGCTAGGATCTAGCTAGAGCCCCCAGGAAAGCCTGCAGTGTCAGCCCAGGCCACCTTCAAATCCCCTGGCTCAGTTCCCACTCCTTGTCTCATCGCCCAGAGCCCCAGCCAGGCTCTACTAGGAAACCCTAACCCTGTTCCTCACCAGGACCTTGCTCTCCATGCCTGGGAGCCACTGAGTGGCTTTCTGATGGAGCTCAGAGTGGTTGGTGATTGGTGGGTAACTAATGACAAACTGCTGGCCACCTCATAGTCTCAGAAGCTTGCTTTCTCTAGCAGTACAGCTGGGTCCAGCAGTCATGCCCCGGGTAACCCCAGTTCCCAGAAATTTCAGGCTGTGTCCAGGTCCCTGACTCCTTCCAGCCCTTATTGCTGAGCTGGTAGTTGTCATGTGCTTGTGACTGGGGCTGATTGACACTCATTGGTGAGCCCCTGGGAACTATGGGAGGACTTGTTGCAGTACTGAAATACTCTCAGACAGGTCCCAGCGCCTCCCTGCATTTTGCAAGGAGAGCCCCCACGCTACAGCAGAGGCTGTTCTGGTGGACACTGGAGCTGGCTGTAGGGAGCATCTTTTCCCTTCTTTCTTTGGTAGGAGAGTAGTTCTGGGATCCAGAATCTTTGCACTGAGCTACATCCTCATCCCTTTATTATTTTCATTTTTTATTTTGAAACAGGGCCTCACTAAGTCCCTAAGTACACAGACTGACCTCGAATTTACAATCCTCCTGCTTCAGTCACCGAGATTGCTGGGATTATAGGCACTTTTCTTCTTAAATTTTTCTTATATCCTCCTGCCTTTCTTGTTGCCTGCAGGTCTCTCTCATTTTTCTCCTGCATTTTCCAAGCTCTTCTACAAAGGCTTTTAAAGGACCCTGACAATCTGTGCAACCAGACAGGACTCATGACCCTAGTCAGAGCATGGACACTGCTCAGGGCATTGAGAAATGGCGTGGCACAGACCTGGCCCAGGAGGTGGGGCACAGGTCTCGCTGAGTCTGTTAGAAGTGTCAGCCTCCACAGAGCTTGGTCCTTCCTCAGCGGTGAGATGCTGCATGGTACCGAGTATTTTGGAGGTTGTGGGCCACAGGCTTGCTATCTGTATCTGGGTTGGGAGATGCCAGGCCCAGAATGTCCATCCCTGAAATCTTCTCCAAAGCAGAGGCCAGTGTAGATGCAGCCTTTCCCACCTTCTTATAGTCCCTGAGTGCAGAGGTACTTGTCTGTTGTCACCTACTTGTGGAATGGAGCCCCCTGGAGGTGCTGCCCAGGACCCCCAATTAGCCCATCTCTCTTCCTTCACTCTTTGCAGAGCTCAAGCGTCCCTGTCAGAGTTGTGAATTCTCACCCCACAAGAAGCACTGCAGAAAACACCAGCAAGGTGGGTCCAGCATGGGAAGTGGTCTAACATGGGATTAGGCTGCTCTGGGGCCCTGTCCAGATTCTAGACCCCGCCTCATGCTGGCAAGCCTCCAGCTCAGTGGTACTTGTCCATCAGCTCTGCAGGGATCGAAAACAGGGATCAGAGGGCCTGAGTGTGCAGAGGACAGAAAGGGCCCCCCACAGGCAGCAAGGGGCTTCTCCAGAGAAGGTCTAGCTGAAGCAATGGGAAGCATTTCGCAGGTCACAGCTTTGTCATGCGGGCTCTTCCAGGGACACCTTCCCTCAGGGCTGCAGGAGCCTCCAGGGATGAATGACAGGACCTCAGGGATCCTGGATATGGAGCTATGAAAATGCCTAGAGAACCACTTGGGGCAGAAATCCTGGGGGCCCCGGGAAGAAGGTGGCCACTGGGAGCTGGCCAGGCCAGGGAGAGAAGAGGAGAAGGAACTTTTCTGGTCCTGCACTGTTATCTAGATGGTCATTGTCCTTGCCCCAACGTCTGGAAATACACACCCACATGCAGGCCACTAGGGCATAGGCAGAGGATTCATGTTATGCCAAACCATCACTACCTCAGCCCCCGGGTCTCTGAGAGTAGCTCCCATCCTTGCCTGGGCCCCTGAAACCTCACCCTGACCTAGAAATGAAGAGGATACCACGTGGCATGGCAGGCCCAGGTCAGCCAAGGCCCAGGCCCACAGCTTATTGTGTTTGTTCTGAGGCAGCCCAGAGCTGGACCCCTCAGAAGGGGCATAGGTTGTTCTCACAAGAGGCTACCCAAGAAGTCCCCTCCTCATCCCTACCTGACTAGAAGCTTTACCTCACTAACACTATCGTAGAGCAGATAGAGCCGTGACTCCCACGCCCCTGTCCCACAGCTGCCAGAATCTGTGCTGCTGTGGAACCCACCCTTCCCAGAGCCCTATGCACACACAGCAGGAGACACAAGTGGAGGCCTGGGTGCTCCTGCTTTCACGTTATCTCCTTGTACCTCTGCAGAGTTGGCCCAGAGGTACCTGCAGCTCCTGAGGACCTCTGCCCTCAAGCACTATGATGATGGATTCCCTGGGCCAAGGAAGGTCTATGTTCCCCCAATCCTGCAATGGAACAGGGCCACAGTGCCCTTAGACACTCAGGAGGGGGCCATGATGGGGGACCCCAAGACAGAAGATGGCAGTGATGTGAGCCTCCAGGACCTTTTCAACTTCAAGACCCCCAAGAGCTCACGGGTGACAGTTCTTCTGGGGAAGACAGGCATGGGTAAGACCACACTGGCCCGGCGGCTCTGCCACAGGTGGGCTGGCGGGCATCTGGACCACGTCCAGGCCCTGTTTTTTTTTGAATTCCGCCAGCTCAACTTGATCACACATCTGCTGACATTGCCTGAGCTCCTTTTTGATCTGCACTTGAAGCCAGAGTCAGGCCCTGAGGCCGTCTTCCAGTACCTGGAGGAAAACGCCAGCCAAGTTCTGCTGATATTTGATGGGCTAGACGAGGCCCTCCACCCCAGTGCCAGCATGGAGACTGTGGGGTCCAATGGTTCTGGCCCTGTCCTCACCCTCTTCTCCAGCCTCTGCCGTGGGACCCTCCTGCCGGGCTGCTGGGTGATGGCCACCTCTCGACCTGGAAAGCTGCCCGCCTACCTGCCCACAGAGGCAGCCATGGTCCACATATGGGGCTTTGACCAGCTGAAGGTGGAGGAGTATGTGAACCACTACTTCAGTGACCAGCCACCTCAGGAGATGGCCCTCACAGAATTGCTGGCAAATAGACATCTCTGGAGCATGTGTGTGGTGCCAGCGCTGTGCAAACTTGTTTGCCTCTGCCTGCACCATCTGCTCTCCACACGCCTCCCAGACCAGTCCGCAGCCTCCCTTCTGCCCACTGTGACCCAACTGTACATACAGATGCTTCTTACCTGCAGCCCTCTTCCTGCCACATCCCTGGTAGGCCTTGGAAAGGTGGCCCTGAGTGGCCTGGAGAGTAGGAAGGTCATCTTCTATGACAGAGACATCTCCCCTCCCCTGATGGCCTTTGGGGCTACTCACAACCTGCTGACCTCCTTCTGCATCCGCACAAGCCCTGGGCACCAGGAAAAAGGCTATGCCTTTGCCCACTTCAGCCTGCAGGAGTTTTTTGCTGCTCTGTACCTGATGACCAGCCCCACAGTGGACAAGAACACACTTGCCCGCCATGTCATCCTCAGGTCCCACTGGGTGCTTCGGACCGAAGCTAGACTGAGCCTCGAGGACTACCTTCCCACCTTCCTGGCAGGACTGGCATCCCACAGCTGCCGTCTTTTCCTCAGCCAGGTGGCCCAACAGGATGAGACATGGGTGGGCACCAGGCAAGCTGCTGTTGTACAGCTGTTGAAGAAGTTGGCCGCCCGCAAAGTCAGGGGCCCAAAGGTGATAGAGCTGTGTCGCTGTGTGGCTGAGACTCAGGATCCTGAGCTGGCCAGCCTCACTGCCCAGAGCCTCCCTTACCAACTGTCCTTCCACAATTTCCCACTGAACTATGCAGACATGACCACCTTGACCAGTGTTCTGGAACACAGGACCAGTCCCATCCACCTGGAATTTGAGGGCTGCCCGCTGGAGCCCCACTGCCCTGAGGCTCTGGCAGGCTGTGGGCAGGTGGAGGTTCTTAGGTGAGTAAGAGCCTCATAGGACAGAGAGGACCAGGGAAGGAACTGGGCTTTTGGGAGAGCAGAGCCTGAATTTAGATAAAAAATATCAGAACAGAGCAGCCCTGTGTGTCACTTACCTTGGGACACAGTGAGACTGTGCCATACTTCAACAGGACTGTCAGAAGCCACCTGGATCCTCCTCCTGCATGTGCCTTCTGTAGTTTTGTGGCCTCTTTTATTGATCATGAATCTCTTCTGATGCCAGCTGTGCTGCTAGAAGCTGTCTGACTTTGGGCAGGTTACACAACCTCAGCTGCTAAAATGAGTCACTTTGAGGATGAGACAGGATAAGGTACAGAGCCAAGGCTTGGTGTTTGCACTAACTAGAGAAAAGGCAAGGCTACAGTCAGAGCAGCTTCCTCAGGCAGAAGCATTAGTTCCCCCAAAGTTGGATTTCTCTCATGGAAAAGTCAAAGCTAAGTCCAAGTTGGTGGCATGGTGTAGGTCCATGTGGTCAGGGCCCCTACTTTTGTCACTCTATCACTCATTGGGTATCTTATCTGTGTGGTCAAAACTGGGTTACTGTAACCTGTGCTCTGGTTTGGAGGGAGGCACATCCACTCTGTTAAATGGCAGGCTTCAAACTAGGACACATCCCTCGGAGTGGCATTGGTGAGCACATAGTCACATGGACACTTTGAGCTGCAAGAGAGGTTGGCAATGATGTCTCTGGCTGGGAAACCATGCTATTAGCCAACTTCTATTTCCATGAATAAAGCAAAAGATGAATTCTTTGGGTAAAATTGTCTCTGCTGTAATCTGTAGTTGTTAAGGCTACAACTACAGTGACAACAATAACTGCTACTAGATTAAGCCTCATCTGGTAGAAGAGTGGGTGGTGATAGCCTCTAAGCCTTGCCCAACATTTATCCTTGGCCACTTTGCTTCTTCTCATGCAGCTTTAAGAGCAGGAAGTGTGGGGACACCTTTGCAGAAGTCCTCTCCAGGAGCTTGCCGAACATGGGGAGCCTGAAGAAGCTGGGGTGAGCCAGGGCTTGGAATCAAGAAGAATCTTCTGCTGAGGATGCCTGACACTCTCCTTCCTCCCCTCTGTCCTACACAGGACAGATTCCTGACCTACCCCTGCCCCACCCCCATTCCTCCCCACCATCTTTGTGTACCTGTAGGCTAGCAAGAAGCAAGATCACTGCCCGAGGCATCAGCCACCTGATGCAGGCTTTGCCCCTCTGCCCTCAGCTGGAGGAGGTCAGGTGAGCAGTGTCCAGAAGGGCTCAATCTCTGGGAAAAGGGGTCATTCACACTCCCAGGTCCATCCTGGGTTCACACAACTCAGGTAGTTTGGGTTCTGCCTATTCCATCAAGATCTGAACCGCAATTTTCAACAAGACCCAGAGAATGTAGTAGCAACTCAAGCACAAGCATCCCAAAGGGCCCAGACCAGGGCTTCTGTCATCTGATATCTTGAGCCATTTTAAGAGACCCTGACAGGCTTGAGCCTCAACCACACTCCCCACGATCCTGAGGAGCAGGGTACCAAGCCTCACTCTACTTGATATGACCTGCACAACTAGATCCCTTGGACCACCAGGCAGAAACTCTCCCCAGGGGGATTGAAGTTCACTCATAGCTGTGCTTGTTGCATCCCAGGGAACATGTCACCCACTATTCCTGGGTCCTTGCTTTGTGTCTCTGGTATGAAGATGGCCATGGTTGTCACCTGCCAGTTGGGGAATCCAGGGAGTCCATTCCCAGGGCTAAAGGATTGAGTCTCCATTTACTACAGTTTGCAGGACAACCAGCTCAAGGATCAGGAGGTGCTGAGCATTGTGAAGGTACTGCCCAGCCTTCCTCAGCTCCAGAAGCTTGAGTAAGTAGCCTTCCACCCGCATCAGCCCAGCTGATGTCTTGGCCTGAGTCACTCCTCTTTTGCAAACCATTGACCAGCGATTCACTTCTGACACTTTTGCTATAACTGTACAGCCTGAGCCACAGCAACTTCTCCATATCGACCCTGTTCCTCTTGGTGAAGATGGCAGTCACATGCCCTACTGTCAGGACCCTGCAGGTCAAGTGAGTAGAATAGGGGATGTTGGCCTTCAAGGTTTTGGAAAAAAGGAAAGATAGAGTGGGAAAAGGAGGAAGACTGAAGTCTGAAAGATCTATGTGTGCATGTGCAGGTCTGTTTTACTCAAAACCGTAGCTCCAGAGCCTAACACAGACCTAGTGCCTGGTGATGGGTGGGTGGATGGATGGATGAGTGAGTGGATGGATGAGTGGATGGATAGATGAATGGATGGATGGATGGAAGGATGGATGGATGGATGGATGGATGAATGGATGGATGGATGGATGAGTGGATGAGTGGGTAAATGGACTAATACAAGATTAGAATGTGGAAATCTAATCCAGGAAACAAAACTAAAAGAATGAGTCCCTGTGTGTCGCTCTCCGTGGTGCTGAAGCTGCATTACATATTTGAATCGCGGGATAGGTTAGGCATCCTGCTCCTTAATCCTTAAACAATTACAACTCCTCAACCCCTAATTTAGTTTTTATTTTGAGAACACGTTTCTTTGAATTTCCCAGGCTGGGCTCAAACTTGCTACCTTCCTGTCTCAGCCTCCCAAAGTGCTGGGATTGCAGACACTTGCCTCCCACCTACTTTACAACTCCTAATTTTAAACTCATAGCGTTACTGTTTTTTTATTGCTTGTAAGAAATTACTTTCCTGACTTTTAAAAAACACTTTGGAAGAATTCAACAAGTGACTTTTATGTGCCTGAGTTGGAAAACTTTTGCCAGCCCTCTTATGTTTCTCTGCCAATTATAAAATTCGCTTTCCCTCAAACTTGGGTACAGGTAAGGATATGCAGGTGGCGGTGATGTTCTGGGCTTTCATGCCTTGGTGTCTGACCCTTTAGGAAGGCGGAACTCATCTTCCTTCTTTCCCCATCCACAGAGATGGCTGCAGATCTACAAAGGTAAGAAGCTGAGGAGGTGTGGGAGGTGACCTGCTTCAGAGAGTTGGGGGAAGCATGGCCAGGAAGAGCTGAACTGTGGATTCTTCCTGCTCTGTCATGCTGGGGAATAAATGACTGAACAGATCTGAGGATGAACTTTTTTGGTGGGGGAGGGTCTTGCTATGTAGTCCAGGCTGGCTTCAAACTCACTATGTAGCCTCCTGAATGCTGGGATTACAGAATTTTAATTTCCTCTAGGATATTCTGACCACATCTAGCCCCTTTGCATAGGGAAATACTCAAAGTCACAGAGTAAGCTAGACCTTTAGGCAGAACAGGAAGCCACTGTTAGCCTGATATCACTGAGTGAAGAAACTCTGGGTAAACTCTTACAGGAAAAAGCAGTGGGCAGTGATGGTATCTGCATCTTAGGGTTGTTGTGAGAATTACATAAGCAAATATGTTGGAAGTGTTTCACACACTGGTAGCATGTGAACAGCACTTAAATGCAAGCTGTTCCAGCTCTGTGTGGATTTCCACTTGGCTCTTCCTGAATGGGTGAAGAAAGGGAAGCTGCTGTCCCCCTGAAAGAACACTCCTTATGCATTCCCCATGCTCCACCCTGGCTGCCACTGCACAGATAGATGACACTCTATGTCAGTGCAGTGCCTTAAGTTTAATCCCGGTACTAGAAAAAAATAAAATAAATATAAGTTAAGTGAAATTAAATAACACAAAATGTTTATGGGGGCATTTGCCACATGCTTCAGGGTCTCAGTGATCATGAGTGGTGTGGGCTCCCGTGGCAGCAGCACAGGTGCAGAACTCTTCCTTCATATCAGGAAGCTCTGGCAAACAGCAGCAGCCTGGGATCTGTGGCACCTGGCTCCCTGAATCTTGGCTTCCCTGAGCCCAGCTGCCCCCTCCAACCACCAGTACCTACCTGCATGCAATTCCTACCTCTAGTTCCTCTCCCTCAGAAGCCACCATATCACAGACACTGATAGTTTCTCTTTATAAGCTTCCCCCTTGAGCATCTGCTGGTGTTTGAACATGGCTTGCTGCATTCAGCCCTTCAGGAACTCTATGTGGTAGCAATTGTGACCCATCTTGTGAAAGAGGAAGTGGAGGCTCCAGTGGGTAAAATGACTCACCCAAGGCCACAGAGCTACATGTGTCAAAGCCAGAGTTTGAGTAGAGGTTCCCCTTGATCTCAAACCTTCTGCTCCTGCTGCATTGCTGAATCACACCTTGAGCATCTTGAAGCAACCATCCCTGTGACTCCCTCACTGTGGGTGTGCAGCAGGGACCTTCAGCCCCCAGAGGTCCAGAGAAAGGCCTGGTCCATCAGACCTGGCACCTGAGCCCAGGCCGTTTTTTTTTATTCTTGTCAGAGCTCCAGACCTACCAGAGAAAGACAGCCAGAGGAAGGAGACCAAGAACAGAACTCTGGTCCTCAGGTACTGCAGTGGGGTCCCCTACCTTAAGGAAACAGGTGATGAAGGGGAGGCTCTTTCCCAAGATAAGTATAGCAGGGTCAAGGAGGATGAAGGAAAGGGCAGGCATGGGGTAAAGAAGGACATGGATAAGTCACCTGACTTGACTCAGGAATGTGTCATACCAGCTGCAGCTACTGCTGAGTGGGCTCTCACAGCCTTGGTGCTCCGTACCCATTACCTCATAATGAGATTTCTGGAGGCCTTGTGGAATACATTTATTATTCCCATATGACAAAAAGGGAAACTGAGTCTCTGGTAGGTTGGTGCCTTGCCCAGGATGGCTCAGCTACTAAGACACCTACAGTCCCCAGACCTGTAAGTCCACATGTCCTCCAGCACTCAGAGCTAAAGATCACATGGCACAGCTGAGACTCTCTGCCTCCACCCCTCCTCCAGGCTCCAGAAATGTCAGCTCAGGGTCCACAATGCAGAGGACCTCATAGGCCTGCTCCGCAAAGGCCCCCCGCTGGAGGAAGTGGAGTGAGTGACTGGGGAAGCCCTGGGGCAGAAGCTGGGGTGGGGGTGGGACCTCAAGGGGTGGGGGTCAGCAGAACTGGGCCTCAGTTTTGGGGAGGTAAGGGGGTGCTGCACCATGCAGGAAATGGGGCTCCAGGTAACTGTATTTAGCATTTGTCTTGTGCTGGTGTTCTGCGAGGGGCTTGTGTGCATATCACGTTTAGCCTTCTCATTTCATGAGGTAAACACTGTTACTATTCATAGTTATAGACAGAAGGAAGTAAAACCACAGAAAAGTAAATTTGTTCAGGGTGAAACTGACGAGAAGAGTCCAGGCCAGGGGGCTGGCCTAGAGAGCCTAGCCTGCAGCTGCATTCTGCAAACTACTGCCACCCTTGTCCCTGGGGTCTGCAGAGAAGAGCCTCACTACCCCTGCTCCAGTCCTGGGCAGGGCCAAGGAGACCAGGAGCCGGGGACTGGGGAAGGTCCTGCAATGGCAAGCAGAAACACCAAGCAACTCCCAGGTTTTGGAGGCAGATTTATTTACATCGAGGGGCACTGATTGGGATCATTTGTAAAATATCAGGCTCTGATCTCTGATGGTCTAAGGCTTATATGGGATAAGCAAGCCAGAAATACAGAGGCACAATGGCTTGTCAATTGGGGATGGGTCTTACAATATGCATCACAGTGACCAGCTGTTTCTAGGAGACAAGAGCAACTAGGACTGGAGCAGGAACTATCACCCAGGAAATTAAGAAACTGACATATCCTGGCTGGGGTGGAGGGGCCATCTCTGCTACAGTCCTGCTGTGTCTCCAGAGGCAGCCGCTGGGACAGTCTTAGGCAATCTTCCCCAGGGCATGGAGGTGGAGCGACAAAACACTATTGCCCTGGAGTGAGGTGGAAGGGTGCAGGCTGCCCCGGTGATCAGTTCTTGGTTCTTGCCCTTGAGCCTTTGGGAGAACCAGGACAGAATTAGAAGGCATCAAATATTCCTGCCCACATCAGTGCCACCACCAAGGCTGTCCCTCCCCTGTGCTCTCACCTGAAGCAGTGACCACCACTCCACCTGGTCAAACAGACATCTCCCTGCTCCCTGGCCCTCCCCACAACTAGCCCATCCTGAGTGGACTTAAATAGCTCCCAGAACCATCTCCTCTGTTCAGCCTCTTCACCCTCCTCCCAGTCCCAGCTGCCCTCATCTCCCACCTGGGTTCCCACCAGCTTTCTCACTGACTTCTCTCCACCACCTCCACCTGGCAGCCAGAACTGCATTTCTGCTACCTACATGATAAAGTTCTCCCTTCTCAAGATAAAGTTCAGATCCTACAGTCTTGTTTGGTCCAGAACCCTGCCTACACCCCTCATCAGTCTACATCTTACCCTGACACCCCCACTCTACCTCCAGTACAGACACATCAGGTCTGTTTTGGGTGCTCCTATGTGCTCTGCCACAGGGCCCTTGAACATGCTGTTCCTATTTTCAGAAAAACTCCTTCCCATGCCTCCTCTACCCCTTACCTGGTTTTTCTAGAAAACAACACAAATGTCAAGACAGTCTTTTCTGACCCCCACACTGGGTCAGCTGTCTCTGTAGTCATGGAGTTTATCGCAAGTCACCATTGTGTAGGTTGTAGCATAAAGGAATAGTCAAGGGTGAAGTATTACTGAATTTAGGCTACCTGGGTTCAAATCCAGGCTCACCTCTGAGCAAGCGCCTTTACCATTCTATGCCTCCGTGGACGGATCAGTAAGATGGGGATAATAATAATAACTCCTGCATCCTAGGATTGCTGTGAGGCTGAAATGTGGTCACAGTTGCAGAAGCCCCCAGGCCAATGAGAGGGAACCTTCAGAAGGCTGCATGCTGTAACTGCAATCCTGAACACATTTATTCATCAGAGTCCCAACACTGCAGTTGAACCCGAACACTGAGGTTTTAGTTTAGGAGAAACAGCTCATACAACTCATGGCGTCACCACAGAGAGGGCTCTGCGAGCTAGCTGGGGCTCATGTGCTACAGGTTCTCTAGCAGAGCCCTAGGCTGTGCTGGCTATGTCACACGCAGCTGTTGCCTTTAGTAACATGAACATTCATTATGGGAGTGATGCTGTGAGTGAAGTTAGGGCTATGAGTGTGTGGGGGGCTGGGGGAGACCCTGTCCCCACAGCACAGGACAGCAGACCCTTCTGTCTCAGCCTCTCAGGGAACCAGCTGGAAGATGAAGGCTGTCGACTCCTGGCGGAGGCTGCGTCTCATCTGCACATCACTGGGAAGCTGGAGTGAGTTGTTCCCTCATCTCTGGGTGACTCAGAGGGCCCCAGGGAGCCCCTGGTCCCTGCTAGCCCTGGTTCCCATGCCCACCATCAGTGGTGGTTATACCTACCCACTGACCGCCCTCCATTCTCTAGATCCCAGAGTTGACTTGACCATGCCTTGCCTCTGCCCCGCACTTCTCACAGTCCCAGCTCTGTGTCCCTCACATGTGGGGATTCACATCATGGCCTGTCACAGTTCATCCCTGAAGTGGGAGTGGGGGTGATACATTGGGCAGAATTGAGGTGTGGGGTGCATGGGTGGGGGTGTTAGAGTCACACATTGAAACAGGAAGTGGTATGTTAGGTGGGGGTACTGTTTGGGGGTGAAAGAGTAGATGTTGGGGTGCCAAGATGGAAATGAGGGGTGTTGGACTGCCGGGTATGTTGTGGTTCTTTGGGGAGGGGAGGCCTGGGTGGTGTTTGGATGGGGTGTGTTGGGCTGTTAGGATCACATTTGGGTTGGACTTAGGGGAGCACTGAGGTTGTGCAAATTTAGAGTCTTGGCTTCGTCTCTGTCACTTAGCTTTATGGGTCTGAAAATGGAATGGAATGTCTTGCAGCCTCAGTTTCTTCATTTGTAAAATGGGATTACATGGGCTACATATGTACAAAGTCTGTAATATGCAGGCTAATCCATCAGTGCTCAAAAGATGGTGGTTATTTTACAGTAAACTGAGGCTCGGGTGTGCAGGGTGGGGCTCAGTCTGTTCTTACAGCTCACACAGGAGAACTTGATTGGGGGAGGGATCATGTGCCTCTTAGCTCAGCCACCTGGTCCAGGAGTCTCTGGGAGTCGCAGGAGTGTCAGCCAGGAAGCTGTTGAGCCTGGAGGAAGGACAGGAGCCTACTGATGACCCCTCTCCCCTCCCCCCAGCCTCAGCAACAACGAGCTCTCTGCAGATGGGGTGCCCCACGTGCTAAGGGCTATGAACACGTGCAGGAGCCTGACAGAGCTGCACATCAGGTGGGTGCTTGGGGACCCAATGATTCCTACCCCAACCTAGAGCCCCGGGCTCTCGCTCCATCCCCTCCAAAGTCCCAGAAGTGCTTTCTGGCCCCAGGCCTTAGGGACACACCTCTAGAAAATATTACTGGCACCCTGCCTAGTCCCCATCCTATTATGAGCACCGGCTCCTCAGGAGAACTCCTGGGACTGGCAGGAGCCAGACGCTTGATGGGTTACACCCAGGAGCTGCTGCCGCCGAGCAGAAGGTTCAAGCCTCCAGCTCTGCCTGTGCTGGGACAAACTTTGTAGTATCCTTGGTCTGCCAGAGCTCCCTGGGGCCATGCTGGGGACTAGCTCCACTCAGCTTCCCCTGGCTGCTTACTGGTTTCCCCTGAAAGCAACAACACATGCATGGGTGACCAAGAGGCCCTGCCTAGGGTGGAGCCCGACTTTATTTCTGAGTCTCACTGTCTAGTATGAGGAGCTGGGGACGAGTGTGAATGGATGTCTGCACAGTGCCCCTTGTGTGGGAAGGCCCCTACTTAGAGGAGGAGCCTGCTTTACACACCTCAGAGGAGGAGAAACTGGCCTTGAAAGTGAGGTAGATTAGAGACGTCAGTTCACTTTACATGAAGATTCAGAAAAGACTCTCATGACACACCATTCATTTCTAGGAACTTAACCTACCCAAGCCATTGTGATGGTGTGAGCACGTATAGCCACAGGGCCGCTCACCGGGCTGGTTACAACAGGAAAGAAAATGCAAATACTGTGTGCATTTGACAGTAGGAGATTAGCTAAATAAGCTAAGTTTCTTTCAGAGAAAAGTAACCATGGAACCATAAAAAGATGACAACCTACATACACTTTTAATGTGAAAGGTTCACTATGGTATGTTAACTAAACAGAAAAGTTTGGATAACTGTATAGTAAACATTTTCAGACATACTCAGAGATAGATGGAACTGTAAGATCTGTTCCCTTCAACAATGATCAATTATTAATAATTATAACTTGCCGCCCTAACTTCCTATTTCTTGAGAGCTGTAAAAGAAAAATTTAAAAGAGAATCTGTCAAGTGCCATTTTTAAAGAAAAAGAGTAGTGTTAAAAAGCTAGAGATTTGCAGAGGCCACTCCAAAAGGTTAAGATCAATCTATGTGGGCCTATCAAGCTCCATGATGAATGTTTACATTTTTATTTATTTTTTCTCATAATTTTATTGAGAAATAAATAGCAATGAGACAGTTTCAAATCAAATTGGTAGGACAGTTCCAATAATTAACGCATTGCATACAGCCTTCCTAGTGGTTATTTGTTGCACAAGATGCAGACACGATATCCTATTTACAAACACTGTTAGAACAAATCTCTTTATTCCTTGAATTAAGACAATGTAGCTATATATCTATTCTAACCATTTACATTTTTAAAAGTATGACAATGGAAGACATTGCCCTGAATTCTCCACATAGTACTCCTCCTGTTTCCCACATACTCACCCCATCATTCTTGCCACATTCTGGAAGTCTTCCTTCATGAATGTCCCTGGGAGGAGTGAACATATACATACAGAACTCACCTGCCGCAACTGGCCGGTGGAAAAGCAGACTTGCGAAAGCATTACACCATGTCGTCGTCCACCTGCGTCAGCAGACCTGACACCAGGGCACTCTGGCTCTTCCCCAAAGTCAAAAATGGCCGTATAATCATTCTGAATTGTTCAGAACAGCAAAGCAGCCACAACATCACAACTGAAAATGCTCCCGTAAGAGGACTGCTGGAACCACTTCAGAAACTGGCAAGAGTGATGCGATATGTGTGTTTGAAGTAAAGGAGAATAACTTCAGGGGGATTCATGGCAATATCTCTCATTGTAATAATTTTTCAAAAAATTTTAAACATTTATCATATTTTTTCAACCCCACATCATACTCCAGCTACATGAAGGCCAGTACCCCAAGCACAGAGGGCTGGAAGCCCAAGAGAAGACTGGTGGCAGAGGCAGAAGGGTCTCCTTCTGAGGCCCAAACCAGGGAAAAGGCAGTAGTTAATCTGCTTTCCACAGACTTGCCTCAAATCGAGAGCTATTACGGCAATAGATGCATTTATGAAATCTGTGGCCAAAAGACCTCAGCTCTTGAAACCTCAGAGGAAATCAGAAGAAAATCAGAGGAAGTAGCCAGCTGGAAGGCTGGGGACAGGGGTTGGCTTCCGAGGAGTCCCTCAGCCCCAGGACCAAACCAGGGCACAGAGCAGCAGGGACAGTAACCTGCTTGGAACTTCTCTTCTCTCCACAGCCTATTGCAGAAAACAGTGGTCTTCACGTTTGCCCAGGAGACAGAGGAGCAGCAGGGGACCCAGGAAAGGTAGTGTCCCCCATCCTCCTGAACTTCCCTGGCTCGAGTCTCCTCCCTGACCTCACAGTTGGACAGTGAGGCTGACTTGGAGAACTTGATGAATTCCTGATTGGGTAGGAAGTGAGCAGAGTGTCCCACAGATGACATGCTGGGGTGGGGCTGGGATTGCCAGGGAATGATACTGGGGAGACGGAGGCCTGCAGTCTAACTGGGAAGATTTCCTAGGCTGGAGCCCTGCTGTTGGTCAGAACTTTTGGATACTTTAGGGGGTGTTTGCCTCCCCCAGAATCACCTCCTGGATTGTCCCAGCCCAGCACTTGGGCAGAGATGCAGGTCTTTGCTCCTTGATGTCCTCCCAAATCGCCTCTGTGGGGTCTGGACTTCGAAGGTCTGGCTGGGGGTGGGGTTGACCACCTGATGTCCATGGTGGTGATGAAATTAATGGTAACAGAAGCCAAGGATAACGGAGCATTTTCTGTGTGTGTGCACCAAACACTGAAATAAGACAATTCACGTGCGTATTACTCCTACTGTGGGGTGGGGTGACTTGTCCCATCACACACCAGGCCAAGTGGAAACCAAGATTGCACTGACTCCAGGCTGAGGAGTGGTTGCCTGGTGGCAGGCGATCTGGGGATGGACTTTGGGGACAGTGGCTAAGACACCTGCCGGAGGGCCTTCGTATGTGTCCCTGCAGGCCTGCTTTTCTCGACAACCTCACATCCTTGACAGCCTCTGAGCCACCCCGAGGGATCAGGTACCATGCTGGCCTGGCATGTGGGCTTCTGGCTTCCTCCCTTGCTTGTCCCCAAGCCTCAAGTCCCAAGTCCATATGTTCCTTAGGGTCACCATGACCTGCCATGTCTAGGAGCTGTGTGCTCCTTTCCGTGTAGCTCACCCCAGGTAGGTCAGCCCCTCTGGTCACCTTCCCTTGGCTCCCCAAGCCACAGCAGCAGTAGGGTGGAGGGGACACTGAAATAGAGGAGGGTAACCCTGCTGTTCTCACCTGGGGCCTCACCGAGGCTCAGCCTGGTCCCTACAGGCTTCCCACCCTCAATCCTCCCCTCTTCTCATTGTCTCTCTAGCTCTGTCACATTCCTCATGTCTTTCATAGATTTTCTCTCTGTTACCCTTACTCTTCTTGTCTGGCTTCCTGCCTCTTGTCTCTGACTCTCTCTGCCTGTATGTGGCATCTTATAGATGTGTACTTTGACCCCTCTTTGTCTGTCTGTCTGTCTGTCTGTCTGTCTGTCTGTCTGTCTGTCTGTCTGTCTGTCTGAATGTCAGACATTCCAAGGTCCCTCTTTCCCTGGAAGCCCAGCTCATTAGGTCTGGGGTGACAGGTGACTGTCACCTCTGTGCAGTGAGCAGGTGGTGCTGAGCCGTGGATCTGCCTTTCTGCAGGCTGACACATTGCGGCTTCCAGGCCAAGCACCTAGAGAAGCTCTGTAAAGCTCTGGAAGGAAACTGCCACCTCTCCCGCCTTGGTCACCTCGAGTGAGTGTCTACACTGTGGAAGGCAGCATGTAGGGTTGATCAAAGTTCCTCCATGTTTCACTTTGGGGTTCTTTGGTATTTTTGTGGAGATTGAATCCAGGGCCTTCATGCTGAGCTATATCCTCAGCCCTTTTTTATTTTGAAAAAAGGTCTGACTAAGTTAACCAGGCTGGGCTCAAACTTTCAATCCTACTCCCTCAACCTACCAGAGTGCTAGAATTCTATTTGATTTTTAGAAATTAGCTCAGGGGTTCTTTCTTTCCTGAAGTCAGAGAATCGTGAATGATTCTCTCATCAAATATATGTCTCCACCCTCTGAAGCCCACACTGGTCCCCTGAGAATCCATGAATTTTGCACAGGAGCCCAGAGGGCTTCCAGCCACCTGTGTGGGACAGGCCAAGACCTGTTTGGGTGGCCCAGGCTGTGTCCTGGCCTCAGGAGAAACCAGGAGGGCCAGGGCAAAGGAACTGCAACCACGCTGCTGCTGAGCCCACTTGGCCTCTGCTGACCTTCCCTCTCCATTTCAGCTTCTCGGGCAACGCTCTAAGGGATGAAGGGGCCGCGCTGCTGACCCAGCTGCTCCCAGGGCTGGGGCCCCTGCAGTCCTTGAAGTGAGTAGCCACCTGGCAAAGCCCCCGGGGCTGCCTTCTGCAGGATGAGAGGGAGTACTTTCCGTCCCCTTGTCCTCCCTGGGTTACACTACAGAGGCCATGAAAAGATACCTGCTCATCCCTGGGCCCACTCTCTTGACTGAGGCAGGTGACAGCTCCATCAAGGGCAGCAGCTGCCTGCTCAGATTAGAACAAGCCACAGCTCACGGCCTCCGGCCTCGTGGCTCGGTGGTCCCGCTTCAGCTTTCACTGCTCAGGCTGCGTCTCTCTCTGCAAGGCTTCCACAGTTGAGCAATCTGGCCCGTGTTAGGGGAGCGTAGGGCATTATGGGAAGCACTGTGGAAGCCTGGGGACGTAGTAGGTGATTGGTGGCCTTCTGGCTTTCAGGATCCAGGCAGGATTGTTTGATGGGCCTTGGGTTGGAGTCTCAGGGAGGCTTTAAGGGTAGAGGATACCCAGGCAGGTGTGCAAGGCTGCCGAGGGTCCTGCGCACCTGGGGAAGAGTAGGGAGTTGTTCAGCATGGGAGGGAGGCCATGGAAGGAGCTCAGGCACCCCAGACCTTGCCAGCAGCAGACCAGGGTTCCTGAGCCCTAAAAGATCCCAGGTATTCTTGGCTCCTGCAGCTTCCTTCTCCTCCCAAGGTTTTTTTTTTCGGCCAAAGCATGAGGAACTATGGTAAGAGGTGAGAGGTCCTAGATTTCAGGCCAGCTCTACTACCTTATTTACCATGTGACCTTGGGCAAGTTGTTGCCTCTCTAAACCTAGGATCTGTCTAAGGGATAGCTATAGGTGTGGTCACTGCTTGTGGAATAAGTGCTGCATCCTCAGGTTCTTCCTGCTCAGTGTCCCCAGGAAGCAGATGAGGAGAGGGTGTCACCTCTTACCCTGCTTGGGGCCTGCACTTGACTGGGAGGGACAGCCATGCAGATTGAGTTTACAGGCTCCCCCACCCCCATGTGGCCTTCTGAGCATGCAGGTGCTGGCTGCTTTGCTGGCTTTCAAACAGAGGCTCATGTTTCCATTTTGCACTGGGACTACCTCCTTTATCAGGTGGGGAGACAGACCAAGGGAACCACTGGGCTCTGTCACCAATGTGGCCAGTCACCTTGAGCCAACCCAACCTGTGTCTAGCCTGTTTCCTGGTTCCACTGTGAAGTTGGGAGGCTGCCCTCCGACTACCTGGAGCTCAGTGGTCCCAACTTGTGAATCAGGGACAGTCCCACCTGCCTAGTGCTCTGACACAACATGTGCCTGGGTGCTGGGTGCCTCCATCAGTGTCACCCCTGTGATCTCCAGCCTCAGTGAGAATGACTTATCTCTGGATGCCGTGTTCTGTTTGACCCAGTGCCTGTCCACCCTGCAGTGGGTTTGCCATCTGGAAGTCAGGTGAGTGCACCTCTGTCCAACCGTACCCCTCATGCCACAGGCCATCAAACCCTCTTGGGGCTCTCCTTTGCCATGTTACCATGTATCATCCCTTAGAACTCTGGACATCACCAGGTACAGTTGCCCACTGAATGAGTGACTACATGAAGGCCTCAGAGACACTCAAATGTTTCCACTTCACTACAGACAGAGTCTGTCAACTCCCTTGGGGACCCAGGGACCTGCCCTAATTGTATGATTGCTGGAGCTGATGAGCCTGGAGGGCAGACACCAGCCAGCCCAGCAGCCCCACATGAGGCACCTCCATGGCCTGCCTCCTCTTGGGGACAATCCCTGAGGGTCCCCAAGAGTGGAGATGCCATGGTAAATGGACCAGGCTTCACTCCTTCCCAGTTGTGGCAGCTTTGGACAGCAAGTCCTTGAGCTTGTTGTGCCTTGGTATTGATGTCTCTAAAATGGATCTAAGCATAATTTTTTCCCTTGTAGTTGTGGTGGGAGAAGGCAGTGAGTTAACAGTGGTGCTGCACTGCAGATACGCTTTGATAGATGTAGAGCGCTTAATGACTGATTATACGAGTCACTAACAAGCAGGCCACTTCCCAGCCCTCATGACCTGGCCAGGCCTGTCCTTTCTCAGATAGCTGCTTCCTCTTTGCTTCCAGCTTTGAGAGCCAGCACATCCTGCTGAGAGGTGACAAGACAGGCAGGTGAGGAGAGGGTGTTCTGGGAAGGGGGCATCTCTTCTTGCTATGGTCCACTAGGCCCAAGAGTAAAACATTTAGGGGTTCTGGCACACTGGAATTAATCGTGCATCCGCAGCTGCCCTGCCCCCCGCCCCCCATACACACACCACGTAAGTAGTAACCAGGGGCTTAAATCTGTCCTGGAGTACAGCGGTGCGCATGGAGGCGTGGGGGTAGCTGGCCCCTGCAGAGCTTGTGCGAGCACCTGCTGCTATGTGGGTGGAAGTGGGAGAGCAGTTAGGTGTCTGCTCTGCGGTGACTTCTGCCCACGCTGTTTGATGCGGATCGCTGCCCTTTTGCACTATGAGAATCACGCTTGAGAGCCAGCCAACTGTTGGTGCTCTCCAGAGAGAGAAACAAAGTTTCACATTTTCACGGTAAACAATGAACGGTGTGAGGCTCTTGCAGTTGCTCCCGTCTGCCCCCTAGTGGGCACAGATGTCCTGGTCTCACCTGGGAAGGTTGGGGAGGGGGGCAGAGCGAGGGCCCAGTGACACAGCTGGGCTGTCTAAAGTCAGGGGTGGCCCAAGGCCAGGTGGCCTTACTGCTCAGGCTGGGGTCTCTGTTTCTGGGGGTCCCTTAGAATCATGATGCCCTTGAGGTACTGGGAGGCAGGGGTCATGAATGCTATGTTGGTAGAATGGGTGGAAGGGCTCTGGTCTGACTCACCTGATCTAGCCAGGTGCTGCCATCCTGGACATGTGTAAGCTGCTGGCTTCCTGTCTTTGGCCTCAGTTTCCCCACCTGTACAATGGTGGGCTGAACTTGCATCTAGTGCCTAGATTCCAGGCCTGACTACCGAGCATGGGATCCAACGCAAATGCCTTGAACTTGCCTTCTGGCATGGTCTCTCCACTTCTAGGGCCAAGCTGGCTGGTGGGTCTTTGCCAGGACTCCCAGTGGGAGCTCAGTTTTTGGGATTCCATCAGCACTGCCTCCGCAGGAGCTTCTGGTATTTTCTCTCACTTCTTCTTTAGGGATAACCACTGTGGGGACAAGGGGTCAGGAAATGGGGCAGAGTCTGGGACACTAGGGATAGGGATTGGGACAAAGGGAAAAGAGAGAGTTTGATAAAAGTGAAAAGAAAGGAAAGGGGTGAGTACGAGGGACAGGGCTAGGGTTTGAGGCTGCCTGATGGGCCCAGGCGCTGTTTTCCCCCTAAACAGAGTCCATGTTTATCTGCAGCACACAGGGTAGCCCAGCTGTTCCTGTCTGGTCTGCCTCTGCTTCGGGACACCACTTTCTAGAAAGCAGATAGCTCCTATCTCCAAATATACAGTCAAGAAGAAGGAAAGTTGGGGTATAAGAGAAAGGCAGGCTGCTTTTGCGGGAGCACAGCCTGGGAATTAGGAGGTTCCCCAACTCTGCAGGGAGGGGCTGCAAGACTATGGCTGGGTCATGAAGTCCTCCCAGAGAACAGTCATGTTCAGCAGTGCTATAGGGCAGAGAGAGGAGGGAGAGAGTGCCCCGCAGGGTGTGGGAGGCAGGGGATGGTGTGCTGACCGCTGGAAGGAGCCCTCTCTGATCCCCTGCCTTCCCCATACCATCTCAGCCTCCAGGAGTGTCAGCTGGGGCCACCAAGCCTCATCCGCCTCTGCACAGCTCTGGAGGAATGGCCGGGGCCACTAGAAGTCCAGTAAGTGACAAGGCACAGCCCAAAGAACACCATCTGTCCCAGGTTCCTGGGGAGACTTCCGGGTTAAAAGCCTCAAGAGTCTGTCTTTGCCCCTTCCCACCAGACTCTGTTAGCCCTACCTGTGGGAGTCCCTGGGCCTATTAGGAGAGTGGGTATCTCCCAGTAGCAACCCCCCCAGGCACCATGGCCCTCCACTGGTCCTCCCTGTCCCAACCTTTAACTTACCAACACTTGCCCCTGAGCACCCATCTGTCCACATGTGGGCATGCTTAGGCTGCCTCTGTGCCCAGAGCTTGGTGTTTTTGTAGGCACTTCCCTGGGGTTCCCTCTCCCTGGGGCCTCCCCCTTCCCAGCCCCCACATACCCTAAAGACCTGGGCCATGGCCAAAGACTACATTCACAATCAAGGGTCTTGGCTCAGCCACCCATAAGCCAGGTGACTCTGGGTGAATAACTTTAACTCCCTGGTCCTCAATTCTCCCAAAGTGGAGAGTCATTTCCCTTTGCTTGTCACTTTTGTACTTTTATTGCAAAAATTGCCCTAAAATAAAGAACTCCAAGCCAAAGCCCACCTCTTGCAAAAGACCCCTTTCCCCTGCCTAACTAGCATTGTCTTGTCTGGGTGACCTTCTTGCCCACTAGCACATTGTATTCTCCATCGGGTTGATCATCCCTTATCTAAAATGCACAGAACCACAAAATGCTTTGGATAAGGGATTTCTTCAGCTTTTAGGATATTTACACATACATAATAAGACATGCTGGAGAGGGGGCCCAAGTCTAATCATGAAACCCAGGCGCAGTGGTGCATACCTGTAATCCCAGCTCTTGATAGGCTGAGACAGGAGGATCACTGTGAGTTTGAGACCATCCTGGGCTGCATAGCGAGACCTTGTCTCCAAAAATGAATAGATAGATGATAGATAGATAGATAGATAGATAGATAGATAGATAGATAGATAGACAAAACAAAAGCCCAAAATTCACTTATGTTCTGTATACAACACATGCACACCCCCCTGAAGGTCACTTAACCCACTGGCAGTCCCTCACATGCAGTCAGGAATTTTTCCCTTCTAGTGTCATGCCAGTGCTCAACAAGATCTTGATTTTCAAATTAAGGACGCTTAACATTTACTTGCAGTTCACACTTTCACTCATGTCATACCAAGTGTGTTTTTCCATTTGGCAACAGTGTTGCTCCTTGTTTTCTGGCTCCATCTCAAATGCCTTTCCACCCTGACCAACAAGACAATTGGTGCTAGCCCCGGTGTCCTGCCTATACTTTTCTCCATGTTTGGACATGCGTGGCTGGGAGGTGGGGGTTTCCCATTGTTTAATAGACTGAGGATCTAACCATGCAAGATCTCTCTGATCTTTAGATTTTTCTCAGGACTGTAGAACATGCTTTCCCTGAAGATCAAGCTATATGGACCCAATTTTTTCTTTTTTATGAGTCTCATGAAGTTGCTCAAGCTGACCTCAAACTTTAAACCCTTCTGCCTCAGCCTCCCAGGTAGCTGGTATTATAGGCATGTACTGCACCCAGCTCTGATTCTTTTTTTTTCAAGCTACCTTAGTAGTTTTGTTGAGAAGAACTGGAAACACTTTCCCGTTTTGTCAACGTCTTACGTTGCATTTGCCACAAGGAAGAAGCCAACCTCGATATGTGACTAACTTCACCTCTTCCACCCTCTGCACTAATGCCTGTTCTGTCTCCAATCCGCAGTTCCACCTGTGACCCCACACTGCAGTAAGGTCACATGTTCCTTACTCTCCTCTGGTGGCTTCCCATTCTTTGCTTTTCATGTCCTTCATGATTTCAAGGAGCCCTGGTCAGATGCTTTGCAAGCTGTCTCCTGGTTAGGGTTTGTCTGGTGTTTTTCTCTGGGTTAAAGTGGGTTATAAGGGCCGGTGAGATAGCTCAGCAGACTAAGCACCTGCTTAGGCAAACGCAGAGGCCAGGGTTAGATCTCTGGCACTGCATGCCACTCAGGCCCTGCCCTCGGGTGCACTGAGCTGGCAATGCAGTCCAGGTGTGGTGGTGCACACCTGTAATCCCAGCACTAGGGAAGCAGAAGACAGGAGGATCACTATGAGTCGAAGCTGCATAGTGAAATCCTGCACGCTAAATAAATTAATTAATTAATTAAAAAAATAAAGTGGGTTATAGTTTGGAGAACAACACTGCAAAGGCCAAGGGCCCCTCACAGCCCAGATTTTTTGGACTGTTCCCGGACAGTGACCTTGATCTCCTGCCAAGGCTGAGCTGAGATTCCCCACTGTAAAGTTACTTTTTCATTTAAACAGGACTTTTATTTTATTTTATTTTGTTTTTTAAACAGCACTTTTATTATGAAGACCTACGCATATATGAAAGTAGTGAGAATAGTATAAAGAACACTTGGGTGTCCTCAGCCTGCCTCAAAGGTTATTGCCGGGGCTGGTGAGATGGCTCAGTGGTCTAAAGCACCTACTTAGAACAAGCTTAGCAAAGCACAGGACCACGGTTCAATCCCCCAGCACCACATGCCAGCCAGCCCCTCCCCCTGGTGGGCTGAGCTGGCCACACACACACACACACACACACACAAATAAATAAATAAAATTTAAAAAAAAAAAAGAAAAAAAGGTTATTGCCCCATAACCCCAACACATACACGCATACATAGGTGCACACATGTGCGCATATGCACACACACACACATACACACACACTGTGAGGGCTTTTTATATAGTTTATTATTTTTAGTGTTAACAGTTGAATCCAGTGCCTTCATACTGAGCTGCATCTGCATCCTTTTTTTAAAATTTTTGAGACAGAGTCATTAAATCGCTTAATTGTCCAGGCTGGGCTTGACCTTGCAATCCTCCTGCCTCAGCCTGTGCGAGTGCTTGGATTTCAAGCTTGTACCACTGTGCCTGGCTACTCTAGTTATCTTGAAGCAATTCCCAGATACCTTATAATATTGTCTGTAAATATTTCAGGATGCATAGCAATAAGTGCTCTGTATTTTTTTTAACTTTTCAACAAATAATACACTGCATATATTCTTCTTAGTGGTTAATTGCTGTAGTGCTCTGTATTTTTAATATAACCACAAAATTATTAGCAGACCTAAAATATTAACAATGATTCCTTAAAATTATCAAGTATCCCATCAATATTTAATTGTCTCTGACTGTCTTGTGTGTGTTTTACAGAGGATACACTTGTGCACAGTGTGGGTGGGTGCCTGCCCCTGGTCCCCCGCCGGGCATTCAGGCTGCTCCCAGCAGCCCCACAGCAATGCTCCAAGAGCCCTTCCTACCATTAGGAAGCTACTGTATCTCATGCACTGGGCCAGGCCGAGGAGCACAAGGGTGACAGGATGCTGGTGAGCATAGCTCACCTCTGGCAGTGGGGGCTTGGTATGGAAAGCCTGCAGGCAGAGCTGGTGGTCTGAGCCCTTGTGGGGCTCGGCTGTGGTTAGGAGAAGTGGGGTAATGACTATGAAAGCATCCTGTCAACTGTCAAGTGCTGTGCCCACTCATTGTTATCAATAAGCTGCAAGCTACTTGATGCTGAAGTGCTGCTCTTGGCTCACCAGCCCCTGGCAGTTTGCCAGGGAGGCCAGGGAGGTGGCTCAGGTCAGCCACCACAGCTCCACTTCACCTCAGCTCTTCTTGGTGCACTGTGTGGGATGATGTAATGGGTAAAGTTTCCTTTTTTTTTTTTTTTTTTTTTTTAAGTGTGGAAACACTCTTTTTACCCAGAGTCCACAGCACTGTGTATTTGGGGTTGAGTGGGGAGCCCATGCTCTGTGAGGTGTTACAGAAAGACCATCCTTGCTGAAGAGCACAGGTCTGGCTATGTCTGAGGTCCTCACCCCAGCTTGGAGACTAGAAGGACAGAGCTGAACCTGCAGCTGGGCAGAGCTGCCACCACAGATCCCTGCTGCGAACCACAGGCTGTGCCTCCCACTCTAGCCTCCTGCAAATCAAGCCTGGGATCCTGCACCTCTCCTTCCCCAACCAACCAATGCAGATAGATGGTGGGGTGCTGGAAGCCACACACTATGGGGAAAGGGGTAGACTACAGGGGGCAAGGTGACAGGAAAGAAGGGCAGCAGAGGGCAGCAAAGGCAGGAGGAGACCACCCCCAGGCTCTGGGGGCAAGAAGGACCCCCTGACTCCCAGTATGGTGGCTGTGTATAAATCCCAGGTACTCAGAGAGAGCAGAGACCCAGGTACTCAGAGAGAGCAGGTGTCCAGTTTGCCTCTGTCTCCAGGGTTCTATTGAATTATCCAATGAGGGAAGAACTTGTGGGTTGGCTGTGATGGCCACATCCCTCCCATATTGAGTCTGTGCTTCACCAGGTCACCTCTCTGCATGAAAGAGGCATTTTATTGTTAGGTATTGAACCCAGGGCCTTCAAACTGAGTCACACCCTAGCCCCTTTTAAATTATAATTTATTTTATTTTATTTTTGAAATAGGATCTCTCTAGGTCAGTAAGTTGCCTAGATTGTGTTCAAACTTGCAAGTCTCCTGTCTCAATCCCCCAAAGGGCTGGAATTACAGGCTCATACCATCATGCCTGACTTCTTTTCTTTTTCTTTTTGTATTTTTAGGGAAGAGTCTACAGAGTGTTCAGGGTCTCACTACTAGATCAGACTTGTAGTGATCTGCCTGTTTACAGCCTCCCAAAAGCTGGGGTTTCAGGCACCCACCACCACACCCAGTCTCAATTTGCTGTCTTAGTGCACCCCCAGGGGGTGGGGCTGGCACAGCAGGCCCCAGTATTGAACCCTGGCCCCTGCGCCTGCTTGCAGGCACTTTAACCTGCTGAGCTATTTGGCCGGCCCATAGCTTCTTTTCTTAATGGATGAGTTCCATAGAGCACTAATCTCCATCAATAATTCTGCTCATCCATTTAGTTGGGGGAAAGTCTACTAGAACCCCTTGAAATTTATCACCTGTAGCAGTGTATTCAAGTCTCAGAGACATCCCACAGCACACAAAATGATTTCATTTAGCTGAACCCAGTCTTCTCCTGGTTCAGCTAATGCAAAGACCCGGGGCTGGGAGGGAGTGTTTCAGGCAACACTGGCTTGGTCCCATCTCCTGAAGTCTCTGGCTGTGAGGCTCTCCTCCCTGTTTTTCTGGAAGATTGCAGAAACAGCCCCATTCATGTAGCTGTTTTCTTTCACAGATTGTCCTGCAAGGCCCTGAGTGACCAGAGCCTGGAGACCCTGCTGCACTGCTTGCCCCGGATGCCCCAGCTAAGCCTGCTGCAGTAAGACTGCATGCATCCAGGCCCTGCCTCTGAGGCCCTTGCCCTGCTAAGCCTCTTTCCTCTTCCCTCCCTTTCTTCTGGACGCCCATCATCTTGTCTGGCATAAACAGGGACCTCAGTCTGCTTCCAGCTCTCTCCTAGTATTTTGTCAACCCCAGAGACAGTTACTTGTCCCCTCTGGGTCTCGGTTTCCTCAGCTGACCAATGGGATCAACATCTCCTAGCCCTTCTCTGCGGTTGGGCCTCACATAAGCCAGCTGCTCAAAATACCCTTAAGAATGGCACACACATGGCCAGCAGACTGTCATGGTTCCCTCCCAATGGAAAGGTCACTTACCCCTAAAAAGAGACTGCACAGATGTGGGTCATGTATATGTCACACACCATTTTTTAAAGGTCATCATCCAACTCTGTCAGAGGGAAGAATTCAAGCAGCATCCCCCTAAGTATTTAGAGCTCTCTTTTCTAATTTCAGCTCAGGCTGGTTAGAATTTAGAAAGGATTTACTTTAAATATTCTTCTAGCTGGGGAGGGGGGAAGCAGCTGCAACGGAGATGGAAAAATACAACAGGAAATTCAATCATAACATCAATAACAGCACCCCAAGTGCTAAGGCTGGGGCTGGTGGGTACCTGGCCTGGCTCACATCACCTCCAGGGTCTCGCTTCTCCTTAGGAAAGAGAGAGGGGATGTGACGCCATGCCAGAGGGGGCAGGTGCAGAACAGCTCACGTGCCAAGCCATGGCTCCCACCTTGCCTGCAGAGAACAGATCAGGAACGGCTCCCTTAATCACAAAATGAACACACAGGAAACCTCAGATCAGAGTGGGGTGTCTATGTGCCTCCATCACCTAGCATGAGCCCCAAGCTTCTGGTCTGTCCCTGGGAAGAGGTGGCCAGTCTCTGACCCTGGTGGGGGCTTCAGCTTGCATTACTCAGCCCAAGATGTGTGGGCATCTCTGTGGGTCAGGTGCTGTCCAGGGTGCTGGAGTCTTAGAGGACCGTCTCTCCTTGGCACACACCTTGGAGGGCAGGGGTGAGAACAAATGCAATGATTGCAGCCAATGGGAAGGCGTTTCTTCCACATAGTAGAGGAGCTGCCAGAGAGGAGATTTAGATAACAGCAGACACAGTCATGGACTCTCCTGAGGATAAATGCTCAGCTGTCTCTGGAGAAAAGGGAGCTGGTGCCTTGAAAAGAGCGGGGAACTGCATTCGGACACAGGGAACAGCCTACAGGAGGCTTCAAGTCACCTGAGTTTGGTGGGCCCCAGAAATGGCCGAGAGGCCATGGAGGCCAGAGCTCGGTGTCTAGAGTCCCAGGGGAGGAGGTAGAGAGACCAGGCCCGGGTATCATGAGCCTGACAGCCATGGCCAGGAGCTTGAGTCTTTGTCACAGGAAACTTGAAAGGCAGAGAAATGATTTGGATTTTTAAAGCTCAGTGTGACCTCTGCATAGAGGAGGGACTAGGAGACGAGTAGAAATGGGAAGGGGAGGAGCAGTGTGAGCCAGGGAAAGGGGAGGAGCTGATAGTTGGGATGGGGGAGGAGGGGTGGGCGTGACACACATCTCAGGAGGGCACTGCTGGGAGAAGCTGGTGGAGGCTCATAGCAGCACTGAGGTACCTCCAAGGCCAGTGTGGATCCACCTCATTTTCTCTAAGGGACAGTTTATAACTGAGAGTAACTATAGATATTTTTGATGCTATAACTAGGGACTGGGGGTGCTGCTCTTAGCCTTTAATGAGCAGAGGTCTGCACACTGCCAGATACTCAAGGGCACAGGATAGCCTCCCCTCACAGCAAAGAACGATCAAACTCCAAACTCCATGGCAGAGTCAAGAAGCTCTGCCCAGGGGACCAGCAGCTTCCCACTCTGTTGACAAGGCCTCACCCATCCAGTGAGCAGTTAGATGATAAAGAGCATGGGTAGCAGCCAGGCCATGTGCCTGTGAGGCATGAGCAAACCCTCATACATTGGACAGGAAGGCTTAGCATGACCAGTCCTCTTTCCAGATAAGGGGACTGAAGCTCTGTGACCTCTGTTCAAGGTCACAGAACCAGTATACACAACAAGGACCCAACCTCAAGTCTGCTTGCCCCCAGCCCCTGTTTGTCCCTCTTGAGTCTCTACCTGTTTGCTCGTGCCCTGCTCAGCTGCCAGCCCTGCATGTTCTCCTCTCCCTCCCCCGAAGCCTATCCTGGCTTCTTGTGCTCCATTTTGCATGGCTCTTTCACTTTCCTTCTCAGACTGAGCCAGACAAGTCTGCCCCTGAAAAGCCCTTTCCTGCTGGCTGGCATCATCGGCCAGTGCCCACGGGTCCAGAAGGTGGATCTCAGGTGGGTGTTCTCCTGGAAAAACCGGGACTGGTCTAGGAGGGTTGGGTCTGGAGACAAGGAATGCAAGGAGGGTCGAGGACAGCAGGACCTGCGCCTAGGGCTGGGCTTCGGGAGGAGTGGTCTTGCCCCAGGGAGCACCCAGTGACCCCAGTACTGTCTGCTCCAGGTCCCTGCAGCATGCCACACTGCACTTCAGGTCCAGCAAGGAGCAGGAAGGTGTGTGTTGTGGGTAAGTGCCCCCATACCATGACTTGGCCACCTACAAGTTTGGGGACAATCGGACCAGCTTGGCTCAGAATCACATGCAAGACCTTCTCCCAGAATCTGACTCAATGAGTTCAGCGAGGGTCCTAGCATTTGCAGCTCAAGTTCCCAAGTGATGGTGTTCCAGCTTTTAGTCTGGGAGGACAACACTTTGAGAACTGCCCCACCACTACCACCCAGAAGGAGGATGTGGATTCTCAGTGGGATCAGCTGGGGGGGGCGCAGCAAATGCCGGGTGTTTGCATAAGACTCGGGCTTGGGTGGGGACCCCTTGAGCTCAGAGGTACACCCTGCACCAGCCAGGCTGGAGGTGGTCAGAGTTGGCTGAACACCCCATGCCCAGATCCCCCCCCCCCCCACTGCACTGCAGGTTCACGGGCTGCAGCCTCCGCCAGGAGCACGTGGAGTCACTGTGCCAGGCACTGAGCAAGTGTGATGGCCTCTGCCAGCTGGAGTGAGTAGGGACAGATCTCAGTCGGGCTGTGGGGCCCTCATGCATCCACCTCCACCCCTAGGACCAGCTCTCAGGGCAGGCATGGGATGCTGGCCACATCCCTCAGGCTTCTCTGAACCCTTCATCCACAGGGACAGAGCTACCTTTCCACTTGCCTCACTAACCCATGCAGCTCCTCAGAAAGGGTCCATGTGAGGGGGGCCGTGGGCTACAGTGAAGGATCCATTGGTCTGCCCAGCAGGTGGTCATAGTATGAAGTGGCCTAGCTGAGGAGGGACACCATCCAGGCAGCATGGGGACTTGAGGACTTGTATCCCCGTGGCGTCTCCTGCATGCCCAGAATACAGGCCCTGCATGTGTGGGAACATTCTAACAGCTAGTGTAATGCAGCTATGAAAAGAAAGGAGACAGACAGACAGATAGACAGAGACAGAGAGACAAAGACAAAGAGATAGAGGAGAGGGAGGACAGGAAGGAAGGAAGAATGGAGGGAAGGGGCAAGATAGAGGAAAGGAAAGAAGGAAAAGAAAGGAAAGGGAAGAAAAAAAGTTTAAATTCTTGTTGAGCTGTGGCCAAGAGAAAAAGTGTGACTGATAAAATCATGTATTTTAAAGAAAGATGAATGAGCCATATGATATGCCTCCAAGTTTCTCACTGTAGAGGGATTTTTTTTCTTATTCTAAAGGTCATTTAATTAAGTGGTTTTATGAGACAAAACAATTTTTAAATGAAACATTTCAGGAAAAGATAAAATAAACAATCATCCCAAGTACAAAGCTGTAGGAGGAAATTCAGATGTTGGGGGCACACTGGCTATATTGTTTCTGAAACTGTAGTTAAAGCATAGAATGCCACAAGGATGGGAAGGCAGAAAAGTATTTGGGTACAGTTTCAGATAAATACCAAACTCCTAAATTGAAAGAACAAATCTGTTGGATAAATGAGTTCTCCAAACTCTTTTCCCCCCTGAATTCTTCTTCAGAAATTGTGGCTCCCAACTGACTCAGGACAGGGTCAGGGGCAAAGCTAATTGTTTTTTCTCTAACTCCAGAAAGCCTGTTGGTGGCCTAGGAACCCACAGACATGAGGGGGAAAGAGGAGGACTGACTGCTGTGGTGCTGGTCAGGGGACAGTAGTGGGCGATGTGGGAGCTGGTGGCCATTCCAGCAGTGACGGAACTGAGGGTGGAGGTGATGGGCGTGGTGGTGTTGAGTAGTGATGATGGTGGTGGTGCTGGCCCCTTCAGCAGCAGTAACAGCAGACCCTGGAGTGCAGCCCATGAGGAGCAGGCGGAGCCCAAGGAGGCACGCTGACCACTGAGACGGCTGCTTGTCTCTTACAGCCTAACAGCCAACCTGCTGGGTGACGACGGGCTCAGGTGCCTTCTAGACCATTTGTCACAGATGTCTATCTCTGGCTTGCTTAAGTAAGTGGGGAGTAGCCTGGAGACAGGAGGGATAGAGCCTGCCCCCAGCCTCTTTAGAAAGTATCCGTGGTGAACCCCAAGAAACAAAGGTCTGGGAGAGAAAGATCTATGCTTACCTGGATTCCGCTCACACTGCACACACACCCATACACACACGTCTTTCTCTCCTTCCCTCATACCCACCATGGGCAGATCCTCTGCCAGACACTCAACAGAGGCTATGGCTTCAGTGAAGCTAACCCTGGGACAACGAAGCCATGTTTCATCCTTAACCAACAGATGTGGGATTGCAGTTGCCTGGTTTCATCCTGCTTGATCCCATCCCTATGTGACAGGAATCTTCAGATGTCCCTGAAGCAGGAAAGGGTCCCCAGGAAGTCATCCACACTCTCGCCTAATCTCCCCAGCAACTTGGGAGATTGACAGCCAGAGCCAGGATTCAGCCTGTTGCTAGGCAACCAAGCCCTGTTCTCTGAGAGTCCCCAGCCCACGTGGGGCTGGAGATGGCATCAGGGACCCATCTGTACCCTGCTCTTACCAAGGACAGTGGCGGCAGCAGCAGCAGGCACAGTGAGGGCAGCTGCAGCCACTCTGCCAGGTTGGGGCAGCATTGGGCCTCTCTCTAAGCCTCACTGTCTCCATCTGCAGAATGGAGAGGTGCTTAGACTCAGGGGCCTCACTTCCAGGAAATGACAGCTGGAAGGGAGGGGAAGGGACTGGGCAGTGCATCATCCCGAGCCTCCTTTCTCTCCTAGTTTGAGTCACAACAGCATCTCTCAGGAAGGTGTCCTGCACCTGCTGGGGACTCTGCCTTCCTGTCCACATATCCAGGAGGCCTCGGTGAAGTATGGACTGGCTGATGGGGGCCACACATGGCTAGCTGTGTGACTTGGGGCAACTCACCACTCTCCAAGTGTCAGGGTTCCCTGGGCAGGGGGTCACAGGCGCCATACTCCCATGCCCATGCCCGGGTGCCAAGGGGTGAAAAAGCTAGGTTTGCCCATCCTCACAGGATGGTACAGACACTTCTCTGTGCTCCTCTCTTCAGCCTGGGCTCCACGCAGAACTTCTGGGTTCACTTCTCCAAGCGGGAGGAGGCTGGGATGAGCCTGAGGTAATTCCTGGTGGGGCAATGGGCAGGAGCGGCAAGGGGAGAGGAGGCTGGCCTACGGCACCTCATGCCTGCCCCAGCCTCCTCCTCCTCCTCCTCCTCCTCCTCCTCCTCCTCTTCCTCAGCCCCTTCCAAACTCACTGCCTTGGGTTGGTCCCTCAGGTCTTCCATGATGCCCCCAGGCCTACAGTCTCAGGCAGGAATTTTACACTGAGTGTGTACCTATTAGCTTGAGTCGGAGGCTCCATTAAGATTCTTGAGCCTCCTGAAAACAAATCCTAGCCTGCCACTGTAGCTGTGAAACCCCAGAGAAGTGACTGATCCTCTCTGTTTCAGTTCTCTCGTTTGCACAACCTGCCCTCGGGGCGATTGCGAGGGTAGAGTGAGTTCTTTTGCAGGAAGGGGAAAGGCCTGGCTCCCTGGAGCGCCCCGCCCAGCCTGCCTGGCCAGTTCCTCTGCAGGTTGGACTTCACATGTGACCACTTCGCCTGTGGCTTAGCCTCCTCCAGTCCCCTCACCGGCAGCACCCACAGCATCCTCACGGCACACACCTGACTGCAACAGTCATGCTCTGAACTCTTCCGTGGCCCCTAGTACCCACAGGATAAAGTTCAAGTTTCTTATCCTCCTGATCTTGTCCCTCACAGTCTGACCCACCAGTCACCCCCCAACACCATATATACACCACACAGCACACACTGCACAACACACATACACTACAGATACATTCACACTCACACAGCACACACATGTACACACACAATGCACAAAGCACATATCACACACATACATGACACAGCACACACACTGCAGATACACTCACACTCACTGACACACACCCTCACCTATACACTTTACACATAGCACATGCATACCATCACACACACTCCTATACAATTGCACACACAACACACATGTGCGTGCCCCATATACCACGCCACACACAACACCTCAGCCACAGGATTCTTTGCTCTCTGCCCATAAGCAGCCTGGCCAGAAGCACACAGCCTCCCACCTCTGTTCACATTTGACCCCTGCTGAGAGAAAACATCCCCAACCCTGCCCGCCAGCTCAATGTCAGTCCCTCTTTGAAGGCCAGAAAGCGTCAAGGCAGGCTGTATCTTTGACCTCTGCCCTTGGCGACTCCACACACACAGCAGGTCCCCAGGAAGTCTAGGAGGAAACCAGGCCAGTGGCCCTCACGGGCCTCACTGGATCTGTCCCTGGCCTTCTGCCCTCAGGCTGAGTGAGTGCAGCTTCGGGCCAGAGCACGTGCCCAGACTGGCCAGCAGCATCAGCCAGGCCCTCCAGCTGACAGAGCTCGTGTAAGTGACAGTCCAGCCCATGGGGACAGCTGAAGAGTGGGCACCCTACAGGGCCACCAGTGACTGTGCTCTGTCCCCAGGCTGACCCGGTGTGGCTTGAGTCTGAAGCAGCTGGCCATCCTTCTGAGCATGGTGAGGCGGCCATCAGGTCTCCTGCACCTCAGGTATCTTTCCCCTTCCTGATGTGGGAGGGGCCATGGTATGAATTCAAGCTGGATGGGTACCAGAGCACAGGGCCCCAGGATCACAGCCCTGGCCATTTCCTGTACCCAGAACCCTACCTCCTGGATCCAGAGCAGACCCTGCCCACCTGTCCCAGAGTCACCCCCCCACACACACACGCATACATTTAGAAGAGCAGTCCCTTCCCTGGATGGGGCTTGTGCTTTGGGGTTTAGGAAATAAAAGACAGTTCCCTAAAGAATACCTAAGCAAGGATAAAAATAACATAAAATAAATATGCTAGTCAGGTGTGGTGGTGCACCGTTTCAACACTATGGGATGCTGAGCAGGGATTGCAAGTTTGAGCCCAGCCTGGGCAACTTGGCAACTTTGTAAGATCTTGTCTTAAAAATAGATGGATAGGTGGGTGGGTGGATGAGTGGATGGATGGGTAGATAAAATTTTAAAACTGCTGGGTATGTAGCTCAGTTCAAAGACTCTAGATTTGTACTACCCCACAAAAAAAAAAAAAAAAAAAAATGCGTGCGTATTCACCATAATTTTAAAGATTCAGGAGAAAAGTACACTGAAAGTAGAAAGAATATTTTAAAGCTCATATCCCATTACTTAGACTTGACAACTGCTCATATTTTCCATATCTGCTTCACTTTTTTGTCTTTTGGCTAAGGTATTTTTTTTTTTTTTGGTAAAGTATTTTAAAATAAATTATAGCCCTCATAAAATATCACTCCTAAGTATTTCACCATAAATCTCTAGAAAGGAAGAACATTTTCCACATAATCATAGTTCAGTTAGGATACCGGAGAAACTCAAGTCACAATTCCTTAGAACCACACATTACCTACTCTAATCTGTCCATCTCCCAAATGGGTCAGCTGGCTTGTTGGGTCGGGCTGCAAGCAGGGACCACATTCGCAAGGGGCGGAGCTGGCCCTGTGGGTCTGTGGTTAGGGCACCGCCAACTGCCAGGCTTATGATTCTGGTGGTCATCAACATGCCGCAGAGCCCGTTCCTGACTTTTCTGTAGATTGAAGCTAGATCACAAGTCTTGATAAGATGAATTTACATAGCTGCACCCCAAATCTGGCTTCCCAGACAGTGCTGTGCATGGCTCGCCAGCACCCCCCGGTTGAGACGCAGGGTCTTGCTTTTACCGTACATCGCATTTTTAAAATTATGGCAAAGTATGTATAACGAGATTCGCCTTCCTGACCATTTTAAATGTGCAGCATTAAGAACATTTGCATGCTCTACAACCAATCTGATTCCTTCATCTTACAAAACTGAGGCCGCACCCAGTAGACCACAAGTTCCCGTCTGCATTCTCCCAGCCCCTGCCAGCGCCATCTGCACTTCCTTCCGTCCCTCTGAATCCGAGTACTCCAGACATCTTCTATTAAGTGGAATCCTGCAGTACTGGTCTTTCGGTGACAGTCCCTTTACACTTAGCAGGCTGTCACCGGGGTTCATCCATAGTGTAGCACATGCCAGAACTTCCTTCTGCAACTTGATCCTTCCCCGCTAATGGTCTGTGAATTGCTTCTGCACAGTGGCCTCATGAATAAGAGTGACACTGCCGTGAACACAGGCGTTCAAATATGTCTTAATGCCTCTGCTTTCAATTCTTGGGGGGATTTACCCAGAATTGCTAGGTTACCCCAAATTACGTTTTATCATTTTGCCCAGAAAGCTGAGGCAGGAAGATCGCTGTGAGTTCAAGGCCAGCCTGGGCAACAAAGTGAGTCCAAGGCTGGCCTGAACTGCAGAGTGATACCCTGTCTCAAAGAAACTAAATAAATAATTAAATCCTTTATTAAGCCTAAAAGTAATATACACTCACTGCAGAAATTTGTGGAAAATCCAGAAGAACATAAAGAAAAATGGCATTTAAGCAGAAAAATGGTATTTAAAAAGAACTAACCCAATATAACCTTGAACTAGGAATATTTTAAATAGCTCTTTTATCCTGCTTCTAAGTTAATGCATGCACACTTAATGTATTTTCCTTATATCCCTTATCGCCATCTTTCTCTTCCTATATTTTGCCCTTTTTAAAATACAAAACTGGGATCGTACTTCATGTGCAGTTTGGTTTTCTTAACTTGGCCATGTAACATTATATGGATCTTTTCTGAAATCTAAAAATATTGTTTTTTAAAAATTTTTTCAATTTAGGTTCTTGCAAAATGATTCTTGAAATAAGGATGATGTAAATTTCCCTTTTTATGCTTATGCACCATTGTGTAATTTTATAGTTTTAAAATAGGCCAAAAAGCCTCCAGACCCCTGGGGGCAGTGACCCTCTCCCAGGGTTCTGAGTGCTGCCATGAGGAGGGGACACATGTCTGTGTGTCCCTTCCGGTGGCAGGGTGAAGGAGCCATGGGTTGGCGAAGCCGGGGTGCCTGCCGTGCTGGACATCTGTGCCCAGGCCTTGGGCAACATCACCATCATAGGGTGAGACCTCTTACAGTTCTCCACTTTTTTATGGCTTCTGGGACCTTCCACTGGTCTCTTGTCCTCGGGGTCATAGCTGTAACACACAGAATTCTCTGTGTCCCCAAGATGGCAGGACTTCCTGGGGCACACGTGAGGGGCTACACACATCTACTGGGACTTAGGCTGTAGTCAGACTTCAGTGTCAAGCTGCAAAAGGCAGCACAGATTCAAGACAAAAGGCTGTGAGTCCAGGAAGCTGTAGCTGGGATCCTATGCTGACTTCTTGGAAGTGGCCCCTGCCACACACACACAGCTTTGTGATCTGAGATGACAGAGTGACATGCAGTAGGTGAAAGCAAAGATCTCTGACCTGTGTCGTCGGATCCCCACTCAGCAGTTACTGTCCGAAGATCTGCTGTCCACCAGCAACCACCCAGGAAGGACCTGGGATGGTTTAACTTCTCCCTCAGCCCCTGCTGCTGTGCCTGACCTTCAGGCAAAGCCAGTGAGCTCCGAGTGCTAACGTGACCTGCAGACAAGCCCACCAACTCCTCTGTGGCCCTTGAGCACATCCCTTTGAATGTCCTAGAACAGCCTGTGCATGCCCGCACTAGCTCTGTCAGACTCGGGAAAGCCTCATCTTAGTTACTTCAGACTGCTGAAAGGCACCATTTTTAGTGTACGAGATTCAAGGAAGCAAGTGCTTTCCCATTTCAGGGAGGCCAGGCAGGGGATACAGGGACCCGAGCAGAGGGGCTAGAGAAGCAGGCTGGGCAGGGAAGGCCGCCATGGGCCTCACCAGGCCTCTCTCCCTTGTCAGCATCTCTGAGACCCAGCAGCAGCTCAGCATACAGCTGGAATTTCCTCATCAAGAAGAAAACCCAGAGACCATGGCCCTCAGGTGGGGACAGCTGTGACTAGGAGCGTCTGTGACTGTTTCTGACCCATATTTCTCATGCCCCTGCCCAGTCTTCCCATGCCCAGTCTTTCTGTGGCCTGTGAGGTGTGCCTCCCACCCTCCCCAACCCCAGCCCAGGGCCCATCTCCTCACCAGCTTTCAGTTCCTTGAACAGCATCTTGAGCTCTTTGACCCCCGGCTCCTCCCTCTGCCATATGTTCCATCTTCTTTCACTGGCTATACTTCTCTATCCTTCAAGTTTCAGCTTAGATGCCACCATTTTGAGGAGGGTCACTGGTCCCCAGCACTTAGGCAAATTTTCCTGTTACTCACTCTCTTAGATGCCTGGATGCATAGCACCTCTAATGCACTTTTGGAAAGCAAAATGTCATTTTGAGTGGATGTAGCCCTATATATATACATTCTGGGGAGTCCAGAATGGCTGGATTTCAGTCCACTTTACCCCCTAGGGTACCCTCCTTTGTGCAGTGGCTATACCAGCTACACCAGCTGCCCCGCCTAGCCCCTTCCTTTGCAGCACTGCCTATAACCAATCCCAAGTTGTGGGATTCCATTTGACCAAAGCTTATTCACCCCTATGCTACAAGCTGCTTGAAAGCAGGGATTGAATCACCCCTCCTGCACCATGAGTTCACAAACCACCCCCTGTCATCTGCCTCCAGGCTGGCTAACTGTGACCACAGCCTCGTCAGGCAGCTGATGGAGACATGCGCCAGGCTGCAGCAGCTCAGGTCAGCTTCCAGAAATGCTGTCCCATCCTGGGCCTCTGTTGGACTTCAGTGCATCATGCAGGCCATGTGGGAGGGTCACTCTTTATCCAGGGTGTTTTAGGGGGGTTCCTGAGAGATTCCTCTCCTCCCATACCTCGCTGCCTATGTGATGGGCTCTGAGGTGTGTGCAGGCCGGCAGCCTCTGGAACATTCTTGGACTTTTTCAGCCTGTCTCAGGTAAACCTCTGCGATGGCAGCAGTGCTACCTCCCTCCTGCTGCAGCGCCTCCTGCTGTCCCTCTGTGAGCTGAAGACCTTCCGGTGAGCACAGGACTTTCCCTCAGGCCCTCTGTGCCTCTGCTTTGTGCCACACCTCTCTTTTTCCCAACCTTGTACCAGAGAACTGTGTGTGTCCCCTGCTCTGGGTGGGCACTGCAGGAGTCCTAGAGAGTAGGCTAGAGGGACGTGGCCATGGGTACGGCGAGTACGAAAATTACTCCTTTTTCAAAGCTTACTCCTTTTCTTTCTCTTTCTTTCATTTTTCCTTCCTTCCTTCATTTTTAAAAATTATTGCAAATAAAATGTTGAAGGACTGAGAATGTCCTTACAACATTTACCCAAATTCCACAATGTCAATATTTTTCCACTTTCCTTCCTTCCTCCTTCTCTCTTCTTCCTCTCTTTCCCTTCTCCCCCTACCCCATTTGAGAGTAAGTTGCATAATCATGTCACCCTCAGCACACATTTGAGTAAATTTCCTAAGAATAATGCCATTCTTTTTGGGGTTTTTTTCTTTTTTGGCGGAACCGGGAATTGAACTCAGGCCCTTGCGCTTGCCAGGCAAGATGCTTATTCCACTGAGTCATCTCCCTGGCCCCTGCCATTCTCTTTCATAACCCAGTAAAATTATACAATTCAGGAAATTTAACAGTGATGTGCAGTTATGTAAACTAGTTTCTACTTCGCCCCTGCTACTTGGCCTAGTAATATCTGTTTGCTGCTGTTTGCGCTTTGTTTTGTTTTACCTGTCCTGGAGCCAGTCAGGATCGCATGGTGATGGGCTGTCACCTCTCCTTCACCTCCTTCTATCTGAACAGTTCTTTGTCTTTCGTGTCGTTGTCTCTGACATTTACAGAGCAGTTATTTATTTATTTTGTTCTTTGTTTTTCTTTTTTTCCCCATAATTTTGTTGAGAAACAAATAGCAATGAGACAGTTTCAAACCAAATTGGTAGGACAGTTTCAATAATTAACACATTGCATACATTCTTCCTAGGGGTTAATTGCTGTACAAGATGCGGACATGATACCCTATTTACAAACACTATGAGAACAAATCTCTCTATTCTTTAAGAGAATGTAACTATATATCTATCCTAACCATTTTGAATACACAGATACAAAATGGACATTCATCTGTATCCCCTTTTTTTGTTTAGTTCCGTTATTTGAATATTATAGGTGTGTTAACTCAGCAAAATACTCTAAAAGAGTCCAGTAGTCCATAATAGTATTGAGTCTTCCGCTTCACTGACAATGTCAGAAATCATTGACCTGAGTCCCCTACAGCTCAACATAACAACATGTCTTTACTTCTTCATTTTTATACTTTTCTACTGAATGGTTAAGACCAAGGTAAAGCAGGACCTATGCAACAAGAGTTGTAGCTTTTGGGTCTGATAAGGTCAGTGAAATGCCCTCAGGATTTATCCTGAGATCCTGTACCTCAGATTGTACATCCTTTGTCAGTGTCAGCCATGTGGATGAGTCACGGCCATTGCTTGGCCATTGTGCTTGCTCTCTGTGAAACAGGGCAGTTATTTAGCAGAATATCCCTCAACTTGAGTTTGTCCAGTGACTCCTGGCACTTAGCTTTAGAGACCACATTTTGGGCAGTAGAGTGACTTAAGCCTTGCTGTTTTGTGTCCCTTCAGGGGCACATGATGTCTGCGTGGCCCCTGCTGCACATGCTAACTGTGCCACCTTGCGGGGGGGGGGGGGTGATGTCTGCCAAACTTCTTGCAGTTTTTCCTTCGTGATTAACGCACGTTTGTGTGGAGATAATTTAAGACTGTTCAAATGTCCTGCTCTTCCTCAGACTTTCATGCAATTTTAGCACCTATTGGCAATTCTTACCCAGATCAATTATCCGTATAGCAGTTGAAAAATGTTTCCTAATTTTCAGGGTTTTTTTCAATACAACTGATGACAGCAAGAAGAAACTCTGCAGCGGATTAAAGCACCTGCTTAGGCAGATGCAAGGACCAGGGTTCGATCCCTGGCGTGCTGTGCCAACCCCACTCCCTGGGTGCACTGAGACGGCAATTGATTTTTTATGTATTTTATTTATTTATATTATTTTTAATGTATTTAGTACAGGGTCTACATGGTCTCACGACACAGATTGAATTCACAGTAATCCTCCTGTTTTCAGCCTCCCAAGTGCTGGGATTACAGGCGCATGCTACCACACCCAGTCTCATTCACCACCTCAGCATGCCCTGGGGGCAGGGATGGCTCTGCATGCCATGGGTGTGGTGGTGGCCCCTGAAATCCCAGTGCTTGGGAGGATCACTAGGAGCCTGATCTGTGTGGTGAAACTTGGTAGACCCTGTACTAAATACAAAAAAAGAAGAGGAAGAGGAATGGGAAGGAGGAGGGGGAGGGGAAGAGGAAGGGAAGAGGAGGAGGAGGAGGAGGAGGAGGAGGAGGAGGAGGAGGAGGAGGAGGAGGAGGAGGAGGAGACAGTAACAATTCTGGGACCAACAGAATTGTTGACCTAACCAGTACCTGCTATAGAGATACAAAGCTGTGGTAAAGGGCACCAGCTACACTTGGTGATACCAACATGGTGCAGGCTGTGAAGTTGCTCCCTAGCTGACTGGTGTTAGGTGGAAAGCCCAGACTCCTGCCTCTAGTTACAGCTTGCCTTAGTCTGTCCATGTGAAGAAGATTTATGAAGACAAAGTGTCCCCAACCCACTGTCCCCAGGAGCCCTGCCCTCTGAGATGGCACACCTGCTTCATGGGCTGCCCTTTCATCCCCACCAGGCTGACCTCCAGCTGTGTGAGCACCCAGGCCCTCACTCACCTGGCAGCTGGACTGGGCCACCTCCACCACTTGGAGGAGCTGGAGTGAGTCACGGGATGTTGGGATGCCTGGAGGGATGACTCAGCCCAGAGTAGGGGGCAGAGAGGACACCTGGGCCCATGTGGGGAGGACAGTGACACTTCTGCCTGTGACTCTCCTGAAGCAGAATGCGGCCCCAGAAAGGCTGAGCACTATGTTCTCATTCTCAACATTACCCCTGTCCCTGAGTGCCTCCAGCCAAATCCCTCCTCCACTCTGGGCTATCTGTTGCCTCCATGAAAAGGGGGGTTCATATGGCAAGGACTAAGGGACAGAAGGACTATTGCATGCATGAGTGCACGCATGCAGGTCCCTGTCCCCTGGCTGCATCTCTGCAGCCCTCGTTTCATCCAGGGCATTCTTCCTCTGCCAGGTCAACTGGAACTGCCATGTCTCCCTCCCACAGAAACCCCAGAGCCCAACCCTTGGGTCCAGGAATACCTCCAGCAAGCTTGCACAGTGAGGCTGGCTAGGATCTACAGACCCAAAGGGGCCGGGCAGATGGCTCAGTAGAATAAGCGCTTGCCTGCCTGAGTTCAATCCCCGGTTCTAAAAAAAAAAAAAAATACACACCCAGAGCAGGCTCTCAGCTGTACTTGAGGGGCCAGGCAGGCTTGTCTAACCCTCGCCTCTGCTTGGTCCTCTCCAGCTTCTCTAACAATCAAGTCGGTGAGCAGAGCACTGAAGCACTGGTTGAGGTCCTCAAGGGGAAATTCAGGCTGAAGAGCCTCCAGTAAGTATCAGCCAAAGGCTCATGGGGGGTGGCAGGAGGGGGTTAATAGATAAAGTAAGTGGTGGTGGTGGCTAATGGGGAGGGGCATGGGAACCATGCCCAGAAGCTTTGCATTTCTTGAACACAAACTGTCAAGTGCCTGGATGAACCCAGGCGAATGTCCCGGGTAAGCCAAACATCCTCTCAGACCTTTTATGTCCTTAACCAAGTCTGAGGGTCAGCAGGATGCTCGGTCACAGGAAACAGAATGCTCAACTCAAACCAACCCATGCCAGGAGTTTATTGGCTTATGTCATGGAAAAACACAAGCTGTTGACTTCAGACATGGTTGTATGTAGGGATTAAATATTGGCGCTCTCTGTCTCTATCTGTCTCTCCCTCCCCCTTTCTGTCTCTCTGTCTGTCTGTCTTTTCACTCATAACCTAATCATGCGACTTTGCCACTCATACTCATAACCCAACTCTGTGCACAAAAGCATTCTCACTGGTCACATATGGGTCACATGGTCACCCTATCAACTGGACCAAGAGTGAGGTTTCAGGGTGCTATTAACAAAAGAGGGGGAAACAAACTCCAGGAAGAAAATCCCACAGATATCCACTGTCTTTTGTCTATAGTTGTTTCCTTGTTAAATGGCAACTTTTCCCTCCCTTATAATTTGGAGTTAACAATTTCTCAGAAATGCCACAAACAACCTCAGTCTAAAAGACAAACCCTATTCCACAAATTCCTGCTTAGATGGTATCTAGACAAACAAACAAACAAACAAACAAAAAAAAACCCACAAAACAGTGTTTTCTGCTTTTAATCTCTCAGCTTTTCTGATGACCAAAGATATACCAAGTTCTGTCATTATAGAAATATGTAACAAAGACCATGAAATCCCTTAAGATAACATTCCTCAATAAAACTTTTGGGAGGAACCCATTTGTGACCTCTTCTCCAATTCTTTTCTACATAAGTTTTTGAATGTAGTTTCAAAATAGCCTTTTGACTTTTCCCCCATAGCAGTACAATTCTCCCACTCTGTCCCTCTGTGCTTGTCATAGGGGAGAGGACAGAAAAGAGGGAGGGCAGGGGAAACGACAGGGGGGCTAGAGAAACCTTGGACCACGAGACCATCCTGTCTCTCACAGAGCTCCTGCTTTGGCTTCCCCCCATATCTGTGCTTCCTCCCCCGCCAACTTGAAAGCTTTATTTAGGCATTAGAGGCTGGGCAGGGTCACCACTGACTCATTCATGCACTTGACAAATATGAACAGGCAGGAGACAGGAGTCAGGGCTGGGGCCGATGGTCCTTCAGGGACAAGATGAGCCTCCCAGGGGAGCCTTGCATCTTCTGACCCTTCACACCCATTGCTATTTCTTGCCTCCCGCTGCCTTGGTTGCCCTATCTATCAAGTGGGCACAGTGGTGCCTTTCCTGCCAGAAAGAAGGGGATTTGTTTTCTGTGCCCAGGAGCCTCTTGCAATTGTAAGTTTCTGAGTGTCTCCTGCCGTGGGCAACTCCCCTCAAATCTAAAAGCTACAGCTGGGTGTGGTGGTACATGCAGGTGACCTCAGCACTGGGGAGGCTGAGGTTGGAGGGTGATAATGAGTTCAAATCCAGCGAGAGAGAGAGAGAGAGAGAGAGAGAGAGAGAGAGAGAGAGAGAGACAGAGACAGAGAGACAGAGACA